CTGAGGGAAAGAAGGGAGGAGAGGTGATTTGACCTCATTTTCTAGGGAAATGGTGGGAACAAGCAATTGCGTTTGTGTGTCTCCCTTGAGCATTTAAATTCTCAGAGCTGCCTTTCTGGTTGTGGCTACTGAGCCTACTTCTTTGTCTGACGATGCTCAGCCAAGGAGACCTGAGTCAAAACTGTTTTGCCTGTGCCTTTGGTTATATCAAGGAGATATTATTATCACTAATTTATTAATTGCCTTCTACACAATCATCTCAAGGTGCTGTATGATGCAAACGGAGACACCAAAGATGCAACTTTTAGTGTGGCAGCACCTACACTTTGGAACTCCCTGCTTATTGATATCAGACAGATATCTTCACTGTACTATTTTTTGGTGCCTGATGAAAAAAAATCTTGTTTAGAGATGCCTCCTACCCAGATATCTAGAAAGCTGGAGCTAGTTCTGATCTGTCGGTAGTCATTTTAACTTTTTGAAAGTTTTAGATTATTGCTGTTATTTTTTTCTATTGATAATTTTATCCTTTAATTTGTTTGTTTCTCTTTTACAATCCAGTGGCATATAAATTTTTATCAAATAAATAAATAAATAAATAAATAAATAAATAAATAAATAAATAAATAAATTTGTTATTGATGTGTGTTTATCTACCAGCCGTCTCCAATCCTACTGCCCTTCTCCTGGTGTTTTGGACATAACACTTTCCATGAACCCCCCCCCCAAGGCAGTATATCCCAATTTTCACAGATGTTGGGAATTATAGTCCAGCAACATCTGGAGGGCCACAGATGTTCCTCACCCCTGATACCTAGCCACTCTGCAGACGGTATCCCGACTGCTATTATGACAGCTGCCGTGCTGATATGACCACTTGTGTGGTTTGAGCAATGTGGAACTCCTTGCTACAAGATGTGGCAATATACGAAACGAGATTAGGCGGGTTAGTGGAGGACAGGCCTGCCAACTGCTGTGAGTCAGAATACCCTGTTTCCCCGAAAACAAGACAGTGTCTTATATTAATATTTGCTCCCAAAGATGCGCTAGGTCTTATTTTCAGGGGTCGTCTTATCTTTCCATGAAGAAGAATACGGTACACATATTCCAGGGAGGCCTTATGTTCGGGGGAGGCCTTATTATCGGGGAGGTCTTATTTTCGGGGGATGTCTTACTTTTGGGGAAACAGGGTAGTAATTGTGGAGGAATAGCAGCAGAAAAAGGCATTGCTTGTGGTCTACCCAGAGGCATCTGCTTGCCTTGGGAAGCTGGATGTCGGGTTAGATGCATCCCCTTGATCTGATCTACCTGGACCATATGGGATAAAGAAAACTAAAATGAGTTGTTGTTTTTCAGATTTGCAACACTCAAACACCTCTTCTCTATCAACCAGGAATATGGGGGGGGGGCATCCTGTCTAGCATTGCATTGCCATAGGAGTAGGAAGGGACTCTAGCTCAGTGGGTACAGCACCTGCTTTGCATGCAGAAGGCCCCAGGTTCAGGCCACAGCATCTCCAATTAGGACTGGGAATGTCCCTTACGTAAAACCTCGGAGAGAGGTGCTGGCAACCAGTGTAGGCCATCCTGAGCTAGCTGGATCAATGCTCTGATTTTGCACAAGGAGCTCCTATTTATTTCAGTTTTTTCTGCAGGACAATGAGAACTAGCATCTTACATTGGTTTTATAGGAAGGGTTCAACGTGTTCATGGCTCACCGTGTAGAGCATCTGCCTTGTATGCAGAAGATCCCAGGTTTAGCCCCCTAGGTAACCCCCCCCGCCCCACTTTGGGAATCATGGGCTTACATGGCTTGGAAAAAGATTATATCCACACCATACATGGAGAACACGTTACTTTCCTCCAAAGAATCCCAGGAACTTACGTTTTGAAAGGTTGCTAGGAATTGTAGCTCTGTGAGGAGAAAACCACTCTCCCTCTTGGCCCAGCGTGCATAAAATAAGTGCATTTTGGGACACATTTCTTGGCTGGAGAGCTGTGTTGCAAAATGCAGATAAGTGCACATTTTGAAGAAAGGATGTTTCTCACTCGACATACCTGTGAATTAGGTAGGTCCGCCCTTAAATGTGAACTAACTCAAACTTTCCCCTTCTCCCTCAGTTTCTCCCTTCGTAGTTGAGGATCTGAGGGCAAGGATGAGCCGCTTGAGCTCCCTGCCTTGCGCAACCCAGATAGACCCGCTGCGTTTCCACGGAGGCCCTGCTCCACTTTCAAAGGTTGCCTTGCCCTCCTCGTTAAACGTTTGCACCAGATTTGTAGTCTGCGCCTGTCACTTCGAGTCATTATCCTCGAGATGCCTTCTGGTGTCACCGCTTCCCGGAATCAAATGGTCCGTCCTGTCACAGGAGCCTGCGCCAATTAGTTTTCGTTCGGTGAGGTTCGACCTTGAGCGCCGGAGATGCTTTTGAAAGCACTAGGTCATTTCACAGGAAGATCGTCTCTCACCAGTTTAAAAAGAATTCAAAGAGGCAGTTAAGTGCAGGAGAGAAGTTGCAAATGGCAGAAGCTGTTAGCGCAGCCTTTCCTGGAGTGGCGCATTATTTTCCATCATTCGAGGCTGCTGCTGGGTTTTTGGTTTTTTGTTTAATACAGTGGTACCTCGGGTTACATACGCTTCAGGTTACATACGTTTCAGGTTACACACTCCGCTAATCCAGAAATAGTGCTTCAGGTTAAGAACTTTGCTTCAGGATAAGAACAGAAATCGTGCTCTGGCGGCGCGGCGGCAGCAGGAGGCCCCATTAGCTAAAGTGGTGCTTCAGGTTAAGAACAGTTTCAGGTTAAGAACGGACCTCCGGAACAAATTAAGTACTTAACCCGAGATACCACTGTAAATGTAATAGAATCTTAGAATTGGAAGGGATCCCCAAAGGTCAACTAGTCCAACCCCCTGCAACGCAGGAATTGAAGCCCAAGGATCCCTGCCAGATGACCATCCAACGTCTGCTTAAAAAATTCCAATGAAGGAGAGTCCAACACCTAGCGAGGGAGTTTGCTCCACGGTCGAACTGCTCTTACCATCAGAAACGTATTCCCAATGTTTAGTCATTGTTTGCAATTGTGTGTTTTTTTAAAAACCATTTTATTAGCAATTTCAACATAACAACATATCAAAACATATCATATTCAATCCCCCCTTTCCCCCCCACCCGCTCAAACCCACCCGTCCCCTCCCCCAGAGACTTCCCTCAGCTCCTCTCTCTGATTTCTCAACACATATTATTCTCTGCATGTTATAAAATTATACAAATCCTTACATTATCTGTCTCCCATGTTATCAATCAATAAATTTGTGTATGTTTATTCAAAACCTGCCAAGGAGTCCAATTCATTTTGTTGTCTTTTTAAGTAATGTGTGAAAAGTTCCCATTCTTCTTTAAAGTCACAGTTGTCCTTATCTCGCAGTTTGTATGCCAATTTAGCCAGTTCTGCGTAGTTCATCAATTTCTCTTGCCACTGTTCTTTTGTCGGGGTTTCCTCATTCTTCCATCCTTGTGCTATCAAGTCTCTTGCCGCTGTTGTTGCATACATAAATAAATTCTTTGTTTTCCTTGGCAGGTCTTGGCAGGTCCCTAACAAAAATGCTTCTGGTTTGTTTGTTTTACAAATGTCATTTTAAACATTTTCTTCAATTCATTATATATCATTTCCCAATTTTTAAAAAATTTCTCTACATTCCCACCACATATGAACTTCCTGTTTGCAATTGGAATCCATCAGTTTGGGTCCTTCACTCTGGAGCAGCAGAAAGCAAGCTTGCTCTATCTTCTCTGTGATGGCCCCTCAGATATTTGAAGATGGCTCTCATAACTCCTTTCACTCTTCTCTGTATGGGGTTTTCTTATTTCTTTTCAGTTTGCCACCGGATTACAACAGTAAGCAGAATCTTACAGCAGCCTCCCCACAATGATCACCCAGAGGTTCTGGACTCCAATTCCCATCAGCCCCAGTCATTGAGGGGAAATACCTGTCACTCAGTGGCAGATCTGCTTTGCATGCAGAAGGTCCCAGGTTCAAACCTCAATGACATCTCCACGTAGGACTGGGAATGTCTACTGCCTGAAACTCTGGAGAGCCACTGCTAGTCAGTGTAGACAAAACTGGATTAGGTGGATTGATGATCTGACTTGGTGCAAGGCAAGGATGATGGGAGTTGTAGTCCAACACGTCTGGAGCGCATTAGCTTGGAGCCAGGCGCCATACTGGAATTCATATATGTCTGTCTTGCATTCCAGCAGGGTGGATTAATTCTGTGCTGGTCTCTCAGCCACTGCCCAGATTCTGATCTGCTTCTCTTCCCTTGGATTACCAGTTGTTAGGTGCCTGAATTGAAGATCATTCAGTAGCCTGTTTAATAAACCTGCTGTGCTAACAAGATCTGGGTGGAACCTCAAGTTTAGACCGGCAACAGCTGTTTTATTATTTATGCACATATAATTTTGTAACAAGAAAAAATAAATAAAGACAGAATTTTTTGGGGTAAACAGTTTAGAGGTCATTTGTTCAAGGAAACAGTAAATACATTCTGTTAAATAAACAATAACCTGGAAAACTGAAAAAAATAAATTCTGCGTCAATCTGACGTTTGGCAACAGGACAGTTACTGGGTGTCATTCCTTTGATTTATTAAATGCCCTTCAGCAAAAGGTCCCAAAAATTCTAAAAGACAACACTAAAAACATTTTAAGACATATTACAGAATAAGGCAGGTTCTAAAATATGTATATCATTGTCAGGTGTCAAAGTCCAGGGTAAAAAGGTTCCCTGTCTCAGTGCGAAATGGGTGTGGCCAAAGGAAGAGGGGTGTGGCTGAAGAAAAGGGGTGTGGTTAGAGAAAGGGTGTGGCCAAATGAATTAGGGTGTGGCAAAAGATGTGGGTGTGGCTAAAAGAGGGGGTTTGGCTAAAAGACTGAAGCAAAAGTACATTCAAGAGATCTTTTTAAAACATGTTTGCCACACTCTCTCTCTCTCACTTTCCAGTACGGTGTGAGTTACCGTTGTCTCCTGCGTCAGAACCAAGTCCTCCTTACAGCGCTGGAGGAGCTGCAGTCCCGCTGTGCCGCCCTGAAGAAGGAGAACAGCCTGCTGGTGAGGAAGAGCTTGAGAGCAAGAAACCTTCCAACGAGATCAGGCAACACCAGTCTTCCCCAACCGAGTGCCTTCCAGAGGTTGTTGCACTACAGCTCCCATCAGCCCAAGCCAGCATGGCCATGTGATGCTGAGGATGAGGGGATCTCTTGTCCTAAACATCTGGGAGCCACCAGGCATGTTTAGGAGAACTTCCTCCTGGTTGGCTGATATCCCACAGTCCAGATCTTCCTCATTTTCTGACTTAAAATACTTTCACCCCACTTTATAGCAAGCTTTCTTCCAGTTGGGGGTCACATGTAATCTGTCAGGGTCCACCAGATGACTGTGGGATGGGCTTAGATCCATGGTGGGCAGGGCCAGGGCCAAAAGGAAACACCATCTGTGCTCCTTAGGCTCACTCAGCTGGGAGCTGCTGGCTGTCAGTGTGGACAGTACAGTGGTACCTCGGGTTACAGACACTTCAGGTTACAGGCGCTTCAGGTTACAGACTCCGCTAACCCAGAAATAGTACCTCGGGTTAAGAACTTTGCTTCAGGATGAGAACAGAAATTGTGCTCCGGCAGCGCGGCAGCAGGAGGCCCCATTAGCTAAGGTGGTGCTTCAGGTTAAGAACAGTTTCAGGTTAAGAACAGACCTCCAGAACGAATTACGTACTTAACCCGAGGTACCCCTGTACTGGGTCAGACAATGACCTGTCACCTGACTCAGTTTAAGGCAGCTTCCTTGAACCATGAGGACTGGAATCTTAGCCCAGTGGTAGAACATCTGCTTTGCAGGGGCTGGGAATGTCTGAAACCCTGGAGAGTCTCTGCCAGCCAGGGTCAATGAGCTAAACAGGCTAAGGGTCTGCAACCTCTGTCTCATGGCAGGGCCAGCCCCAGCAATTGCTGCAGAGGACTCAAACCTCTTTCCTTCCTTCCTTCCCACCCCCTTCCCACTTCCCCTCTCTCAGCACAAGAGCTGCTTCCCAGAGACTCAGGAGAAAGTGAGGCACCTGAAGAGGAAAAATGCTGAGCTGGCCGTCATCGCCAAGCGCCTGGAGGAAAGGGCACGGAAGCTCCAGGAAGCCAACCTCAAAGTAGTAAGTGCGGGAGAAGGTGCCGTGTGGCAGACATCCCCCACCACTGGCATAGAAAACATTGAGGTGGGCAGCCCAGAGATTTGGTTTAGTAAAAGGCAGCCTCTTGTGCCCGTATCTTAGAATCATAGCATGGCAGGGTGAGAAGGTACCCCAGATGTCATCTGGCCTAACCCCCTTCATTGCAGCTAAAGAATCCCCAACATATTCCAAACCCTGCTTAAAAGCCTCGAACAAAGGAGAACCCGCCACCTTCCCAGGTAGTCTGCTCCACTGTCTTGTTCTCTTTCTGCTGCAGGTCAACACCCCGGTTGCGGTGAAGGGCTCCTGTGCGGGACTCTGCAAGAAAGCACTGGCCCGCCAGCGGGCTATGGACCTGCGCGAGCAAGCCAGTGTGCTGCTGGCAAAGGACAAGCAGATCAACGCCCTGCAGCAGGAATGCCAAGACCTGCAGGCCAAAATCACGTCGGGAAAGGTGAAGGCTCCATGCAGAGATATCTTGGGTTTGCAGAGGGGTGCATTAAGTGTGTGCGGAAAGCAGCCTGGTGCATGGAGGCCCCCGGAAAGTTGGGCCAAAAATGGTTCAGAAAGCAGCTCTCTGCGGTTTCAGACCAGGGGACTTGGCAGCCCTTTGTAGAGAGATGCTGTCAGGATTGGGCTTTCTGCATACAAAAAAAGATACCCTGCCCTTTCCCCAAACTTGACTTAATTCCTTTAAAAAGGGTTAATTCTGTTTGAAATGATTTTTATACAAAGTACCAAACAGCAGGCAGCAAGCGCTGCCTTTACAGTCCTTTAATTTGGAGAGGGATGCTTATCGTACTGTGTGGAGTTCTGGTCGCCTCACCTCGAAAAGGATACTGGAAAAGGGCCACCCGAATGAGAAAAGGGCCACCTGAATGACCAAGGGGATGGAGTGACTCCCCTATGAAGAAAAGTTGCAGCATTTGGGACTTTTTAGTTTAGAGAAAAGGCGAGTAAGAGGTGATGTAGAAGCTTTTTAAAATTATGCATAGCATGGAGAAAGTGGATTAAGAAAGGTTTTTCTTCCTCCCTCGTAACACTAGAACTCGTGGGCACCCAATGAAGTTGGATGTGGGAAGATTCAGGACTGATAAAGTACTTCTTCATGCACTGTGTGGTTAAACTATGGAACTCCCTCCCACAGGAGGCAGGGATAGCCAACGACCTAGACACCTTTGAAAGAGGATTAGACACATTCATGGAGGAGAGAGTATTTATGGCTATTAGCTCCAATATCGATGCTCTGCCTCCACCGATTACCTTTTGCTGGAAACCACAGGAGGGGAGAGTTGCTCTTGTGTTTGGATCCTGGTTGCTGGTTTCCCACAATGGGCATCTGGCTGGTCACTGTGAGAACAGGAAGCCAGACTAGATGGGCCATTGGCCTGATGCAGCAATCTCTTATTATATTCCCATGTTCACTGAGGAACTGATAAACCAGCTGAGATTTCTTCAAATCTAGAAGCAACCCTATAGGTGATGGTGATGGTTTGTGTCTTCCTAGGAAGCTTCTTCTCCTTGCCTCCCCCTCCTGGACTTCCGCCACCTGCTCCAAGAGTCGCAGAAGGAGGTGCTGCGTCTACAGAGGCAGATCGCCCTGAAGAATTTCAAGGCATCCCTGGGCTCTCACAGCCAGGGGTCAGGGGATGCTTCCTTGGCATCAGTCATGGGCATGGGGTCCCCTGCACCAGCCCTGCCGGCCTACTCAAATGGCTTTTCTCCTTCAAGGGTCTCACGGCAGCGAAATGTGCTGTCCTCTGCAGTGGAGGCAGTGAGGAAGGTAAACTGCTTATAGACTTGCACTTCAAACTTCTGTGCTTATTGTTAAGTCCCGCTCGTTATTATCACATTAGATGCAAGTGTACGTCCTTTCTGGTTTGCTTTGTAAATAAGACGTTTGGCCAGGTTTCTTGCAGGGGGACATGTATCAAGCATGTACATCAAGCATGCAATGAACGTTGGATGATTAATTAATTGAATTTGTATACCGCCCTATACCCACAGGTCTCAGGTAGTTCACAAGATAAAATCACAATGTAAAAACATATAATACATAATAAAAACAAAACAAAAACAACACAATAATCCCCCCAATCCTCAACACATTTTAAAAGGGCGTTGGATGTCAATCAGCCCAAAGCCTGGTTAAAGAGGAATGCCTAAAGGTGTACTGTATAATGAAGGCGCCAGCTGAACCTCTCTGAGTTTTTATGTAGTTGTGGCTTCTGCCCTGAACTGCTAGATCCAGCGGGTGCTTTTCGACTAAGTTTTACTCAGAGCAGATGTACTGAAATTAATGAACATGACAAAGTTAGGCCCATTAATTTCAGCAGGTGTACTCTGAGTAAAACCGAATTGAAGACTGCCCAGCATCAAAACAAAAGGTACCCTCATCAGGTCTCTGTCTTGCATAAATCTAAACGTGGTGATTATTATCACAACAAGAGAAAGAATTTATCATTCTTATTACAATTAATTTATTAAGCCACCGCCTCAAGGCAATTTACACACGAAACCGTGAAGAACAGTAAGATTTCACCATTGCTTCGCCTTAAGGTAGAGTCTAAAGATGCTATCGTGGTCGCTCGGTGTGCCTGGGAACTCTGAGACACGTGAAGCCGCTTGAAGAACGTGCGAATGCTAACAAGGGAGGGAGGTTTAGTTGTGGGGTGGGGAAAGGGCTGCCAACCTCGCTTACTAGCTCCTCTGATGCCCTCGGGCGGCCCTTTCCAACCCCAGCCCGGACCCGCAGGGCCGGGATGTCCCACTGCCGGCGGAGGGGTGGAAGGAAACGCGGAGGCCCACCCTCCCGCTTGCAGCCTCCCGAGAGCGGCTCCTCCTCCCCCTCCCTTGGCGGCGAAGTGGTTCAGCCCAGCCGACCAACCCGCGCAGCCGAGGCCGAGCCAGCGCGGAGCTCTCCGTGGTGCTGAAATTGGGAGCAGCAGGTAGGAGCCCGGCGCTGTCCGGCCGGCCAGGCCGCAGCGCCCGCTTGGCCGAGCAGGGAGGGGAGATGGGGCTGGAAAAGGACCCCGGAGGGAGGAGGGTGGCTGCAGCCGGCCCTCTTGGCCTTGCGGGCCGGCTCCCTGCGCAGCCGGCTCCTTCAGTGCCGTGGGACGTCATCATGGAGTCCTCTGAGCGTTTGCAGAGTGCTTCCCGCAGCCACGGGGAGGAGGCGGGAGTCAGAGAGGGGCGGTTTCCAGGCGTGGGGTGGGTGGAATAAACTTTTAATAGCGCTATGATGTTTTTATCGATATTTTTAACTGTGTTTTGTATTGAGGGTAGGGCATAACAACAGCAGCAAAACAACAGCAACAACAACAAGGAAACGCACTGCAACTCCAATTTTGCCTCTGGGTTACCCTTTCCCCTGCAGCTACCAAGGGCTTTGCTCACCTTTGACTTGCTTCTCCATCAGGTCCCTGGCAGAATGGGGCCTTTGCTGCTCCTCCTAGCCCAGATCAGAGTTTTAGAGAAGCGGCAGGGCAACCCCATTTTTTTCATGCAGAAGGTTCTGTGGGTTCAGTCCTGGCATTGCCCATTTATTTAGCAGAATTTATATACATCTTGATTGTAACCAACCCTCCATGCGGTTTGCGACAAATACTAAACTGATCAATAAATATAAGTAGGTGAAAACATTTGGATAGCCATCTGTCAGGGATTATTTAGGTGTGATTCCTGCAATGTGTGTTAGCAGTTACTTCCAACGCTACAATGCTATTATTTGAAAGATAATAAAATTCAACAGAACACTAGAAAGAGATTAAAACACACACCAGCATTCTACATATCTGGATAGGCTTGGCTGAACACAAAGTGTTTCCCCCTTCCCTCTGAATCCCTTTTCTTTTTGTATTGTATCTTTTAGATTGTAACAACCATTGGCATTTGTAAGCTGCTCTAAGAGCCTTTTTATGAATACATAAGCACATAGCTCAATTCCTTAGCCACTACACTATGCCAGTGCATAAGAGAGACTTAGCTTTATCCCTGAAAGACAAAAGTGCTCCGTTGTTGTTGTTGTATGTCAGAGTAGGACATGGGAGACCAGGGTTTAAATCCCCACTCAGCCATGAGGCTCACTAGATGGTCTTGGGTCCAGTCTCTCTCTGTCTCTGTCTGTCCCTCTCTCTCACACACACAAACAACTTAATCTACCTCGCAGGGTTGTTGTGGGGATCAAAAGAGGAGGAAGAAAACCATGCAAGCCGCCTTGAGCTCCTTGGAGAAAAGGGTGGGGTAGAAATGCAATAAAATAAATAAATAAATTCACCTTCCACACATGACCCTGGGCGAAGATAATAAAAACAGCTTTAAAGCACAGTTAGAAAAACAGAAGAAGATGAGTTTTAAACCCATGACAGAGACTTATTCAGCCAACTGGGAAAGCCTGCATGGAGTTATAGCCATCAAAGCTCTACTCAGGGTAGACCCCTTCAATTATTTATTTAATCTGCAGGAATTTCTATACCACTCATCGTATAGAATACCAAATGCAATGTATGTATATACACCTGAGAGTGTATACAATCAAGAAATAAACAAACCTGAGATAGTCATGTCCATTAGTTCAATTGGTCTACACTGAGCATGGCTATAACATTAGATACATCTCTATTTGGGGGGGGGGTTAGGTACCACTTTCAAAGATGTCCCTGATACCCAACCTAACAGAGGGGTGTGGACACTAAGAGCAGGATCCTGGAACAGGATCCTCTTCTCTTGTATAAGCAATCTGTTCCAGGATCCTGCTCTCCGTGTCCACACAGACTACCTAAAAGATGGTACCCCAGGGGAGCACCTTTATGTATTCATTACCTTTATATCCCAACTTTCCTCCAAGGAGCTCAAGGTGGCATACATTGTTCTCCCAGCTCCATTTTGTCCCCATGACAACCCTGCAAGGTAGGTTAGGCTGAGAGATTGTGACTGGCTCCTGGGCTGCTGTCAGGGCAAACTGGATTTTAATTTCTAGTTCTGGATGTGTTTTGATGTCTTTGCTTTTAGCAAGTTTGTTTTTATTGCTTCGTATTTTATAATAATGCTTTTAAATGTTGGAAGCTGCCTTCAACCCCACTTGGGAGAAAGGTAGACTATGAATACACTGAATAACAACCACCACCACCAGGTTCTTAGCCATATAGAGCTTTATCTGTTAATCTGAGCCCTTTGGCTGCAGAATGGATGGTTGCCTGTGGCCCCACTTTCCCCTTGAGTCTGGCTGAGATTTCTCTCCTTTGCAGAGGGGCCCCAGAGCCCATCCTCTGGCACAAGTGCATGATGGGTATGAAACCCTCCCTGTGAAGAAGGGGGTCGCAACTTCTCCCGAGACCAAACGGCAGATCCAGCAATTGGTGGGTTCCCCTCGCTATTACTTTCAATCTTGCTTCTAAGCAGTTGGCAAAGTATAAGAATCCCACTACTGCCACAAGAATGGTAAAAGTCAGTTGGGGGGAGTTTCTGGGAATGGGGAACAGTCAATGGGCAACAACTTTGGGGTTTCAAATTTCCTTGGAACAATGATGCCCTGGCATGGAATACGTGGGGTGGTGATGGTGAATCTGGCCTGGCCAGTTTCCGCAGCTCATCTCCTTTCCTCCCCCCTTTTTCCGGTAGGAGTCTGAGCTCAGAAGAAAGCGGAAACAATGTGAAAACCTTGAACATGAAGTGAGGAAGAAGCACAAGAGATGTGCAGAGCTCGTGAGTAGCATCCCGCACCCAGAAGCACTGTCGGAGGTGCATCTCCACCCCTAACCTCCAAGGCCGAATTTTGAGAGGCAGATCAGCCAACAGCATGCAAAGTGTTATGGATGATGGGAATTGTAGTCCAGTAGCATATGGAGAGTTATGGATGAAGGGAGTTGTAGTACAACAACACACAGAGGGCCACACGTTTCCTATTCCTGCAGTTAAATAATGGATTGTGTTATGCCTGCTCCTGTCCCTTGGTCACCTCCACCTGTTCCTACAGATTCCCGGTTTCTCTGTCAAAGGAGGCAAATCTTCTTTTATTCCCCAGAAAAATCTGCTTTTTTTTGTCCCTGTGCAGGAAATCCAATTGCAGGAGGTGCAAAGCAATAATGTCCGGCTGTGTGAGGAGAACACTCTGCTTCATGGGCAATTGGAGTGGACAGAAAAGGTAAGTAGTGATCTCTCCCTCAACCGATGCCTGATAACCATTGAGGGAATACAAGCGAGCTTGGGGGCAGCAACTGCTTCCAACCCCAAACTGGAAACTTTCAGTGCAACTGAAATGGAAATTGATTCACAGTAAGTTCAGGGCAGGCAGAAGAAAATAATTTTACAGGCAGGGGCTTCAAGCAGGGGCTTGAAGCTGGGACAGCAGAATAATGGGGTCATAGAACTGTAGAGATAAAAGGGACATCAAGGACCATCTAGTCTGACCTCATGCAATCCAGGATGCATGTGCTTTGCCGCTGAGCAACCTTTCTTCTCTCCCTGGGCAGGTTGAATCTGAAAATGCTGACTTGAGGTTGCAGGTGGCTGTGGTGACCGAGGAACGGGATTCTGCTCTCCAGAAAACCCAGGAGCTCCAGAACAGGCTGGAGAGTCTCGGGCAGGCGCTAAAGGTTGGTCAGATCCAGGGTTGTGATGGGAAAGAGGCATCTCTTTGAGCAGCTCTCTGCCCTGAGCATCCTTGTTAGGAAGCTGGGATAACAGAGGAGGCAGATTTGGGAAACGGGCTCCTGGTTCCCAGTTCAACAATTGGTAGGGTGTGTGCGTGTGTGTAGACGCCAGCTCCTTATTCTGGCTGGCTGTGTTGAAAAAGGGAGCTGGAATCAGGAATGCGGAAGTGGCTTCTGTTTCAGGGATTTGTAGCAGGGAAGTGGAATGCCCTTTTATGGACAGTCTGAGTAAAGCCCTATACAGCTTAGGCCCAGGTTATTTGAAGGACCACATTATCCCTTACAAACCTGTCTGGGCTCTGCGATCTGCAGGGGAGGGCCTTCTCTCAATCCCACCACCTTCACAGGCATACTTAGTAGGAACATGGGGGAGGACCTTCTTGCTGCTTCCAAGCTTTCAAACTCCACCCTAGAGAAGCCAGACTGTGTCCCTCCTTGCTGTCCTTCTGCTGGCAGGCGAAGACCACTTTATTCCAACAGCCCCTTGGGAACTGACTGGTGTGGTTTTTTTTAATAGCGCTGTGCTGTTTTTATCATCTGTATTCAAATAGATGTTTTAAATATTGACCTATATTGGCTAACTAATTATTTGGAGAAGCAAAGGAACCAGGTTTGCCCCTTTGTTCTCAGGGGATACATCCAAGGGGACCTCAAATCCCAGAGAAAAGTGTGAGAGGAGGAGCAGGAAGTTGTAAACAGGATGCAGCCTAAAATGTATCAGTCCAGACATCAAAGAAATAGAAGTCAGCGTAGAGATAAACGTACAGGGAAGTCTGCACAGCTGGAGGTCTCTTACTCCCTGTCTTAATCCCATGCAGACCTTCTAAGCAAACAGAAACTGCACTGTAAGTGAAACCACATTTTTTTAAAAAAATATACTTTCCCCCCCTCCATGGGCCAAAAGATGTTTCTCTTTTGTCTGGATGGCATGGGCTGCCTTTTAATTGTCAGAAGCTGCCATACCCCCCTTCTTGAGAAGAGGGTCCCAATAGCTTGGAAGGAAAACCCTGAGGTGCTTGGAGGGATCATCATCACTCAGCTCTGCTCTCATGCACTTCTGGTTTCCCCAGCACATGAGAGATGTTGCGGAACGAAGGCAGCAGCTGGAACAGGAGCATGAGAGGGCCCTGCAGGCCTTGCAGAAGAAACAGGAGGAAGTCAGGCAACTGCAGCAGGTGAGAGATTCACTAGGGAGACCACTTGCATCCTTCCCTTCTTGGTTAGTGCGTCCTTGAGAGAGCTCTGCCATGTGCTAATAACCTCCTGATTAAAGCAGGGGTGGCTAAACTGTGGTCTTCTACTTCCATAATTCCCTGGTGGTTGGTCGTGCAGGCTGACAGGTGTGTTAGGCACCCAAGACCTCAAGAAATAGGATTGGTGACCCCTTAACCTCTTTTTTCTTCTTCTCTTGCCTTCAGGCCCAGGCTGAAGCAAGGAAGGAGCACGAGGGAGCAGTCCAGCTCTTGGAGGTAAAGCGGGGAGAAAATCAAGGAATGCCAGACAGAGTGAAGGCATGCATTTCAAGCGCACGTCTTGCCCTCTAAAAGAACCCTGGGAACTTTAGTTTGCAAAGGGTGCTGGGAATTGAAACTTTGTGGGATGATAAGCCACGGTTCCCAGGATTCTTCAGGGGGAAACCGTGGGCTTGAAATGGACTAGGTGTCAGCAGTGGGGGAAACAGTCAGTTGTGTGGTTTTGTTTATTACAGGGATTTTTCAGCAGAGCTGACGTGTTACAGGATTTCATAGAACCATAGAATTGTAGGGTTGGAAGGAATTGTAGAGTTGCCTTGGAAAAGCAGTTCCTGGGAAACACCAGTAAGGGAGAGTTTCTGTTGAACTTGGGTCCTGCTTTCGGGCTTCCTATTGGGGCATCTGGTTGGCCAATGTGAGGACATGCATGTTATGGAGAAAGTGGAGGAGAAAGTCCCCCGCCCCATCTCATAAGGGTAGAACCGTGGGCATACAATGAAGGAGGCAGTGATGGCCACCAACTTGGATGGCTTTAAAAGAGGACCAGACAGATTCATGGAGGAGGAGAAACTTCTCAATGGCTGCTAGTCATGATGGCTCTGCTCTGGCTCCATGGGTGAAGGTGGCAATGCTTCTGAATACCAGCTGCTGGAAATCTCAGGAGGGGAGAAGGCTCTTGCCTGCAGGCCCTGCTTGAGGGCTTCCTCAAAGAGGAATCTGGTTGGCCACTGTGAGAGCAGGATGCTGGACTTGATCACCCATGGGCTTCATCCGGCAGGCTCTTCCGATGGTCTTATGGAACTCCCTCCTACTGGAGGCAGTGATGCCTACCAACTTGGATGGCTTTAAAAGATCAGACAAATTTATGGAGGAAGGGAAGGCTATTGATGTCTACTAGCCACGAGGGCTATGCTCCAGAATACCAGTTGCAGGAAACCACAGGAGGGAAGAGAGCTCTTGTCCTGTTTGCAGGTTTCCCACAGGCGTCTGGTCAGTCACTGTGAGAACAGGATGCTGGGCTAGATGGGCCCCCTGTGGCCTGATACAGTAAGTTCTTATCATAGCTGTCAACTTTTCCCTTTTCTTGCCTATTCGGAATAAGGGAATTTCCCTTAAAAAAGGGAAACGTTGACAGCTATGGTTCTTATTAAGTTCTTAACAGGATGCTGGCCTAGATGGGCCTTTGGCCTGATCCAGCTGCAGGACCCTTATGTTCATTCTCACACCTGTTTCCTAGCCATTTCTCGGAAATCTAGATTCCGCATCAGGATTATTGTTTCAGGAAGATGCCTGGATGCAGTTAATCACTTTTCTTCTGCTCATGTCCTTCTTCTTCCTGACAGAATTCCTTGGATTGCATGCAGGTACTGCTGATCTCACCATGTTTAGGAAAATGACCTTCCCAACCAAACCTCGACTGCTTCCCAGAAGGAGTTTGGAATGGAGAAATACCAGATTTCAACCAATTTTGGACTGGGGCGGGGGGAGAGCCAGAGAAGAACAGAAGGGAATTCAGGGTTTATTGGTCTCTCCATTCCAAATGAGCAGCTGTGCTCATCCTGCAAAACAAGAGCAAGCTTTCAGGCCCCAAGTTAAACAGCCAGAAGTTATATAGTTATAGAATTGTAGAGAGTCATCAAGTCCAACTCCCTGCAATGCAAGAACCACTACTAAATATACACACGAGCCCTTGGTGACACGGCAATAAATGTGTGTGTTGGGGAAAGAGAAGGAATTTTGCCTTCTAAGGAAATTGGCTGGTGGTTTTGGAGCTCCCCCCCCCCATTATGATGACATGCAAATTGGCTCACTTACTGAAGTGCCCTACATTGCTCGCTGATGCAGTCTTCCCTTGGCCAGGCACCTCTTACTGGGAATGTCTTGCTTGCTCTTGCTCTTTGTGGCACAAAGGGATAGCAGTGTCATACATTTGCTGTGCTGGCTAATAGTTAGAAGTGTGCTGTGGATGTTGTTATGTGTGTGAGGATCTGGGCACGTGATGACACCAGTCTGATTTCCCCTCTGGTGGCTCGTTTGGTTGTGCTGCACTAGTCCTAACAGAGCCATCCCTACCCTTAGGCAGGTCGAAGCAGCTGCCACAGGCTGGAGATGCTGAGGTTGGAGGCCGGTCAGGTGCTGGAGGGCAGACATCATGCCTAAATGGCTGCTCTCACTCAACAGCCTTGTTTTGGCTGGGGGGGGGGGGAGCGATGTCTCAGTGGGGCATCCAGTTTGAGCGGCAGTCTACCAGATTCCATAGGAGTCACCATGGACTGATCCATCAAGTTCCTTCTGACATTCTTCTGGAATCAAAGGATCATAGAGTTGTAGAGTTGGAAGGTGCCCATTAGGTCATTTGTCCAATGCAGGAATCACAGCCAAGTTATCCCTCTTCCTTAACTTTCCCCCACCCCAGGCCCGCGTGAGAGAGCTGGAGGAACAGTGCCATAGCCACACGGAGCAGTTTAATTTCCTCTCTCAAGAGCTCAAGCAGTTTCGTCTCCAAACTGAGAAAATCAGTCTTCCGCCTTCTTCCCAGGTGACGTCCGAAGTCACCTTCACCACTTGCCAGACTTCTCTGCAGCTCCTGGAGGGACTCAAGGAGAAAGGTGACTATGGAGAACGAGGAAGCCCTCTCTTTGCTTTCATTTGTGCCATTAGAATAATCCAGGTGCCATGGTGTTCCCAGATTCAGTAACTGTAGTGTATGATTTGCTTCTTTAGAGTATGAGAGCCAGTGTGGTGTAGTGGTTAAGAGCGGTAGTCTCGTAATCTGGGGAACCGGGTTTGATTCCCCGCTCCTCCACATGCAGCTGTTGTTTGACCTTGGGCCAGTCACACTTCTTTGAAGTCTCTCAGCCCCACTCACCTCACAGAGTGTTTGTTGTGGGGGAGGAAGGGAAAGGAGAATGTTAGCCGCTTTGAGACTCCTTCGGGTAGTGATAAAGCGGGATATCAAATCCAAACTCTTATTCTTCTTCCTCTTCTTCTTCTTCTTCGGTGGTGGCAGAGAATGCAGTACGAAACATGCAATGTAACAATCCAATTAGAACAACGCAGTAATTAAAACAGGGGACTGGGGGTAAATCTGGGTCAAACCTGTTGCCTGAGGTGGGCTTTGAAGTGCAGCATTGTGGCTCTCTTAGCTGTCATTCAAGCTCCCCAGTTCCAGAGTGTTCCATTGTCCCTGCACCCACCATTTTGCTTGGCGTCTCTGCCTGGCATAATGTATATACTGTTCGGTTTCAGATCCAGAAACTGCCACCATCTCTCCCCGGTGCAGCCAGAAAGCTCAAGATGGAGGGCTGGAAGGAATCTCCCGCCTTGCTGAGCCCGTGGTGCCCGCTGTGGTCAGAAGCCCAGGTGCAAATACCCCTCCGCTTGCCTCGAAGAAAATGGTCAGGAAACTGGAGTCCCAGTCCAGCTCCTCAAGATCCGAGTCCATGCAGAACAGCCCCAAATCCTGCCCTACCCCTGAGGTTAGTCCTGGGCTAGGCTTCTTCTTCTTTTCTTGTTTTTTAAGCAGGCACCCAAAAGAGTACAGTGAAGGCGGCCTGCCTGGTGTCAATAGGCAGGGAGTTCCAAAGTGTAGGTCCTGCCATACTAGAAGTTCGAGTTCTTTCAAATGTGGAAACGGGTATTATGTGGCACCCATAACAGGGCTTCAAATGGAGTGACTTCAAATTGGTGACTGGGTTCAGATGGACTAGCTCCTTTGCTCTGTCCTTCCCACAGCAGAGGTGTCCTTATTTCACTGTCTTCTGTCGTTTTCGTTAGGTGGACACAGCCAGTGAAATGGAAGAGCTGGATATCGACACGATCTCACTAATCCCAGAACCAGAGAACCAAGGTCCAGTGAAGCTCCGAGTCTTCTTAGCTCGTTACAGGTAGGGTCTCCATGTTGGTGGGAATGAGGAGGCTTGGGATCTGAATTCGCTTCTCTCACATTCTTAAGGTCACCGAGGTCTGCCACAACTTAAGGCAGGGTGGAGCTATTCCAAACAGCTGTGTGGCTTTTGCCTCATAAGAAAACAACATACCTTCCAACACAACAAAGGCAAAAACTATGAAGCCATCTTCTTGCAAGAGGACAGCGACCATTTTGGTCGCTGTGATCTCATGCAGTTTCATGCTGTGATTCCCGCCCCCCCCCTGAAATAAACACTTTGTTGGGGCATGGAGCCCAAAAACACATGCTTTGCAGTGCCACATGAGATTGTGGCTCGGGGAGAAGTGTGTTTTGGGGGGAGCATCATGGCGTGAAATTGCATGAGATCACAGTGCCCAAAATGGCCGCTGTCCTCTCGTGAGAAAAAACGGGATGTCTGGGACACTTGTGGTGTATGACATAAGAAAAGCCCTCACAGTGGCCAAGCAGATGCATTTAATGGGAACATAAGAAGAGCCTGCTGGGTGAAGCCAATGGCCCATCATGCTCCCACAGTGGTACGAGCACGACAGCAACTCTTCCCACTTGTGGCTCCCAGTAACTAGCACTCAGAGTCATAATATATGTGGTTCATAGCTATTGGTAACCTCAAGACTTGATTCCTGTAATGCAGTCTGTGTGGGGCTGCCTTTGGGGCCTGGTCTGGAAGCTCCAGCTGCTACAAAATGCTGTGGCTAGACTGTTGATAGGGTTAGACTATCACCAGTGTACAGCAATGAGACTTCAGAGCTTGTGCTGGCTGCCTATACATCCAGTGTCTTGCTGACTTCCAAGACAGCACTGTCAGCTGCTTAGTGTCACTCTTTACTTTTCCGTGTAAAAACAATTCCTCTTGTTCCCATTTCAGCTACAATCCATTTGCCGGCCCCAACGAGAACCCCGAAGCAGAACTCCCGCTGACGGCCGGTGAGTACATTTACGTCTACGGAGAAATGGACGAAGATGGCTTCTTTGAAGGTACGACATCATCATCTTATGAAGATTATTCGTAACGTTCTTGCTTATTGAAATAATTATTGGTGGGGAGTCCAAGAATTCTGGGGAGCAAGCAGTGCCAGCCCAAAGAACAGAAGATTATCGCATCATTACCACCAGCAGCATCCTCATTTCCATAGTTAAAACCATGCTGTTCGGCATATTGCTAATTACTGCGGTGTTTTCTTTTTTCAAATACGCAGAAGTATTTGTTAAACCTCAACAATATTTTGCTGTGCTCACGTTCCATGTCTGTGGTGCTGCTGCACAATACATTTTCCTGTCCTTTTTTCTGGTATCTTCTCTCCCTCTCTTATTTCTTTCTCTTTTCCCCTTCTGTACATTTTTTCTTATGATTTTAAAACTCCAATAACTATTGTATGGGGGACAGGGACACAGTGCTGGAGACACAGCATCAAGAGATTTACAGAGTGTGAAAAATATAACGATGGCATGCATATATATAACAACGCATCGAAGCACACACAACAAAATTAAGCATCATTTCTACCCTGTCACCTCTTGACCTTCCCTTCCAGGGGAGCTGATGGATGGGCGGAGAGGCCTGGTCCCCTCCAACTTCGTAGAGCGAGTTTCAGACGAGGACCTTGTGACGTTCCTGCCTCAGGAACTCCACGATCTCTCCCAGAGCTCTCCTCTGGAAAGGAGCTCCCTCAGCACCAGCCTCAGCAGCGCGGAAAGGAGCGACTGCTCCACCGAGGAGCTCAGCGCCAGCACAGCACCCTCCAGGCTGGAAGAGGACGAGGGAGCCACACCCACGGTAGGGCCCCCTCCCTTCAACATTAATTGATTTTTTTCTTGCGTACAGAAATGTGTAGGCCCCAATGAAACAGGCAAGCGAGAGGGGAAAGAAAAATAAAAGCAATACAGGGAAATGAAATAAGAACAGCAAACCAGTATACCAATCATGCTTCACTGAGGTGGTATTTAAATTATTATTATAATCAGTGCTGTTTTTCTAGAAAAAACAGGTGCTGGAGCTCATCATGAACTTCTCCCTTGTTCTCTTAGAATGGTGCTGGAGCTGAGCTCCGAAAAAAAGCCCCGATTATAATATTTATTTATATCCCGTCTTTCTCCCCAGTCGGGGACTCAGGTGGCTTATGATACGATAATCTTTATTGTCGTTGTCCCATACAGAACAACGAAATTGAAAAAGTCTACATCAGACATTCAAAACCAACAAGCCTGCTACCCCAGCTATCCCAGCCTGGTTTAGCCCCCTAAAAACTCTGATACCCCATAATTAAATACAATATACTCCCACAGAGACTACCTTACACTGCGTTTAAAACCAAAATCGCATTTAGATAGAAACTGTTTCTCAGGCGGGTAGTCCTAGTCTTAATAACCCTGCACCTTCTTCCAGAACACAGATAAAACAGAGCAAAAACATAGAAGAGGCAATAATTAAAATGCAATTAAACAGGAATAGAATTAAAGTGATATCTGTGTGATATTTATATGTGGTGGAGGGGTCAAAAGAGAAGAGCGCCCAGGAAGGGTTTGGGAAGCAAGTTTGGTCGAGTCACATTTGAGATCAAAGAAAACATTCAGGGCCAAAATGGGTTTAACCACTTTGCACTCCCACCACATGTGCAGGAACGAGCCTCGCTAGTAGTGCCTTACCCCAGGAAGGTGACCCTCATCAAGCAGTTTGGCAGCAGCCTCTTGGTGGGCTGGGAGCCCCCCCTGCCCACCCCCGGCTCCTCGGAGATCCAGAGCTACAACCTCTACGTGGATTCCGAGCTGCGGCAAACCGTGAAGGCCGGATCGCAGACGAAGGCTGTCGTCGAGAGGCTGGACTTGAAAACGAGAACCTACCGCCTCTCTGTGCAAAGCGTCTCGGAGGCCGGGAGCTCTGACCGGTTGCGGTGCACTTTCCTGGCCGGGGGCGGGTTTGCCGTGGCCCCCACCCAGCTCAGGGTGCGGAGCGTAGCGGCCACCTCAGCGCAGATCTCTTGGGTGCCCAGCAACAGCAACTTCCCACACACCGTGTACCTTAACGGGGAGGAGCACGAGGCCGCCAAGGCGGGAGTCTACTGGTACACCTTCCGGAACTTGAACCCGAGCACTTCCTACGTGGCCACGGTGGAAGTCCAGCCGCAGCAGCAGGCGCTCGGGGAACCGGCCCCAGAGAAGCAGGATCAGCCGCTTTCCGCAGAGATCCAGTTCACAACGGCATCAGCAGGTGAGTCTCAGTCGAGAAAAAGTGTCTTCACACGGCGCAGCACATAGATAAAGAATGGAACTCCCTGCTGCAGGAGGCAGTGATGGCCGCCAACTTGGATGGCTTTCAAAAAGGGTTAGAGAAATTCATGGAGAAGAAGAAGGCTGTCGAAGGCTGCTAGATCTGATGCCTATACTTTGGAATTCCTTGCCTATTTATTATCAGGCAGGTGCCTTTCCTGTACAGTGGTACCTCGGGTTACATAGGCTTCAGGTTACATAGGCTTCAGGTTACAGACTCCGCTAACCCAGAAATAGTACCTCGGGTTAAGAACTTCAGGATGAGAACAGAAATCGTGGCGCAGCGGCAGCAGGGGGCCCCATTAGCTAAAGTGGTACCTCAAGTTAAGAACAGTTTCAGGTTAAGAACAGACCCCCGGAACAAGGTACCACTGTCCTTTTTGTGTGTGTGTGTGCTTGCTTGCTAAAAACATTTTTGTTTAGGCAAGCCTGTCCAGATATCTTGAATGCTGATTTGTTTTTAAATCTGTTTTTAGCTTCCTGCTGATTTTAAATTATTCTTATTAAATTATTAATGTATTTACTTATTACAACATTTTTTATACTGCCTATCCACAAAGTCCTCTGGGACATTTTAAACAAAAAGTTGTGACTCACTAGAATGCAACGTCGCAATCCCTTTAAAAATATATATAATTGAGGTTTTAAATTTTTGAAAGTTTTAAATCGTTGTTAATGGTTTTTACGGATAATTTTATTGTTTTACCTTTTTTGTAAATCGCTTTGAGGGTTTTAACAATCAAGCGGGATATAAATTTAATGAAATAAACAAAAGGGGGGAAATGCAAAGCTTCGTGACGAGGGTTGTCTTGTAAGTGATGGCTCCATTGTCTATGTAACAAAGGAATGCCGAATCATATAAAAAGTGCCTAGAAGTTTGAGTCCTTGTTGAAATCTCATATTATGATGCATTTTCTCCGTTATAGCTATATTCTAGAGTGGGTGGTACCAATTGTCCAGGATAATATTCTGACTGTTTGAGCTGCTACAATCATGTGTAACTTGCCAGCAGCTATTCTCCTTGTTTTTATGACGTTAAGCTACACACAAAAAATTAACCGAGAGTAGAAAACTAGACTTTAGAAATGGCATGGGGCTGCTGCTCTGAACGTGTGCCCTCTTGGCCTTCTGAACAGCACAGATTACCCTGCAGTATCACCAGAGCAGTGAATTTTGCTGCTTCTCCAGCAGCGTGCACAGGGCAAGCTCCAGAGAGTAAACAGAGTGCAATTCATTTGAAACTCATCTCTTACAGGGTCTCCAGATGCTCCCCTGGATGTCCGAGTGGAGGCTGGTCCCAGCCCTGGGATTCTGGTGATCAGCTGGCTGCCTGTCACCATCGATGCAGAAGGATCGTCCAATGGGGTGCGAGTCACCGGCTACGCCGTGTACGCAGATGGGCAAAAGGTATCCGCTTTGCGTTGGACGCAGATGAAACGCACTGTGCAGAATATTATTTTATTTATCTATTTATCTATTTATCTATTTATCTATTTATCTATTTATCTATTTATCTTTATCTATCTATCTATCTATTTATTTATCTATTTATTTATCTATTTATCTATTACTTACTTACTTACTTACTTACTTACTTACTTATTTACTTACTTACTTACTTACTTATACCCCGCCCATCTGGCTGGGATTCCCCAGCCACTCTGGGCAGCTTCCAACAGGAGATTAAAAATGCATTAAAACAGAAGCATTATTTGTTGATATTGTCATTGTTAAGCTTGGGTATCCAACTTTAGTCATACTCAAAGTAGACCTGTCGAAATCCACAAACTGTCACCCATTGTTAGCTCCCAAGGAAGGGTGGGATTTAAATTCAACAAGTAATGATCTAACTTTATATACAATTCATTTTTATTAAGTGCTGGTCTCAACCTATAAAGTTACTTGGTCTCCATTTGTTGAATTTGTTTTGTAACAACAGGGAGCAGGCCTTCCCCCAGATCGTCAACATCCGTTATGGGCTGGTATTATACCTAAAAAAAATTGGCCTTTGGCCTAAAAAACTATAAATTACTTTCTTTGGTTTTCCAGATTGCTGTTTCTACAGCTTACCTGTTTTTGTGTAATTCCAGGACTGAGCTCACTGTCAACTTTGTTTTGTATGATGTGTTCTTCATTGTGTGTTTCTGATGTGTCTGGGGAAAATTCATTAAATATCAACTAATAAAAGAAAATAAATGCTGTTTTTAATGCATGTATGTGTTCATCATTGGCTTAAAACATTGTAAGTTATAGTACTCTGGGTTGCCATGACAAAATAAGCATTTAATATAAGTAATAATAATCATAACAATGATTTTAGGTAAAGGTAAAGGTACCCCTGCCCGTACGGGCCAGTCTTGACAGACTCTAGGGTTGTGCGCCCATCTCACTCAAGAGGCCGGGGGCCAGCGCTGTCCGGAGACACTTCCGGGTCACGTGGCCAGCGTGACAAGCTGCATCTGGCGAGCCAGCGCAGCACACGGAACGCCGTTTACCTTCCCGCTAGTAAGCGGTCCCTATTTATCTACTTGCACCCGGGGGTGCTTTCGAACTGCTAGGTTGGCAGGCGCTGGGACCGAGCAGCGGGAGCGCACCCCGCCGCGGGGATTCGAACCGCCGACCTTTCGATCGGCAAGCCCTAGGCGCTGAGGCTTTTACCCACAGCGCCACCCACGTCCCAATGATTTTAAACCACCTTAAATCATGAGTCACCAATAACAAATTTGGTGTTGGATTTGCTCCTCTCACTGCTGGTTCATGCCTGTCCCCCTGGTGACCCCTTTCTGCAGGTGATGGAAGTGACCTCTCCGACAGCTGGCAGCGTCCTGGCTGAGATTTCCCAGCTCCAGATCCTGCAGGTCTGCCAGGAAGTCTCCGTAAGAACTGTGTCCCTTTATGGCGAGTCAGTGGATTCGGTGCCTGCTCAGATCCCCTTGGCTCTGTTGGGAGACGCCACCAGCTGTTCCTCTCCGCTGGAGTTTGGCGGTCCTGCCGTCGTGCAGCTTCCGGGCAGGGAGGGGCGGGATGTCCTCACCTCCCAGACCTCCCAGGCATGCGGGACGGAGGACACCCCTGCAGCCGCTGCCACCGATTCCTTTGCCAAATCCACCTCCCAGCCTAGCGTCAGCAGAAAGAAGTCTGGGAGCGCCTTGCTGGCGGAGACCTCCCCCAAGGGGTCCACCTCTCCCACCGGGGCTGCCTTGACACATGTGCCGCAGGGTTCACCTCCAGAAATGGGTCCTCTACCTAGGGGAGAAGGGAATGCTTTTGCACCAGTGACTGAGGGCAATCCAGCCATGCTCAGGAAGGAATCTGAAGAGGGCGACCAGGTCAGTGTGGGGCCTTTCTTTTTGTGGAGGCCAGGGAAAGGAGGCGAGGCTGCAGAAGGGACTGTATCTAGGGCAACAGTGTGGGGCAGCCTTCTTTTGTGGGGGGAACTTTTGGGGGCCGCATACCAGTGGTAGGCAGGACTCAAAGATGAAACTGTGCAGGGCAGTGGATGTGACTCTCACCTTAGTATTTTCTTTTTATTTATTTATAAGCAAATATTTTATTATTAAAAAATTCGACATTAATACATACATATTATGAATATACAAACAAACAAACAAACAAACAAACATGCATTTCATACAATCCTTAAAAATATTCATACATACCCACACTCAATCCCACAGGTACTTCCTTTTCCCCACCACCATCCCTCACCCCACCCTTGTGTTAGACTTCTAATCTACTCAATTGCAATTTATTTCCACTTCTATTACTTTATTTCACACACTTTTAAACCAATTTTCTACTTTTTTTCCTGTTACACATTGTTATCCATCTTATTTAGTATTTCAGTATTTATAACGGAACTTATTTATTCTAATAGGAGTTCTGATTTTTCAATATGATGTTGCAAGTATCCTTTAAACACCTTCCAGTCCTTATCTATCTTCTCTTTTGAGATGCTTCCAATTTCTCCCCTTGTTTTGAATATATTGTCCAATAATTTGGCAAGCCATTCTGTTTTTGTCGGTATAATACCACTTTTCCAATTTTTCGCAATTAATAGCCTTGCGGCTACTGTTGCATATAAATTTAATGTCTTGTCTTCTTCCTTTAGACTCACCTTAGTATTTTCAGCCATGGAAAAGGCAGAGGTTTCTACACTCCCTGCTCCCCTACCCACCCTCTTCCCAGGCAAGCAAGAGGCAGTGCCCCGGTTCAAAGACACTGTTGGTTAGAGCATAGAGTTGATAACGCCAAGGTTGCAGGTTTGATCCCCGTATGGGACAGCTGCAGACTGCAGAAGTTTGGGCTAGGTGATCCTCAGGATCCCTTCTGACTCTACAATTCTATGCTTTTATGATTCCAGTCGGGCAAAATTAGTTGGGGAGGAGTGGTCTCTAGGAGGGGGTATGGCCAGAGGAGAGTCCCAAGGGCCAAATACAGATGCCTCAGGGGCCACATCTGAGTCCCCCCATTTCCTGGCACAGTGACTTGTGTGCAGCTGTGAGAGGAAGGTTGGAGTTTGGACAGGGAGGCGAACTGGGTTTGGATTTTCCTTCACCCATGAAGGAAATGGGGTAGCCTTGGGCCAGTCATAGAATCATAGAATTGTAGAGTCAGAGAGGAACCTGAGGGTCATCTAGCCCCCCCCCCACGATGCAGGAATCTCAACTAAAGCATCCATGACAGTCACTCTTTCTTACTCTATAAGCACTTTGCAGGGTTGCTGTGAAGATTATGTGGGACCTTGAGCTTCATGGCAGAAGTGGGGTGTAGCATGATACACAGTGCGTGAAAAGGAAGCACTTCACGCAGCACAAAGTTGAGCTATGGAACTCCCTCCCACAGGAGGCGATGTTGGCCACCAACTTGGATGTCGTAAAAAGATGATTAGACCAGTTCATGGAGGTCAATAAGGCCACAGTGGCTCTGCCCTGCCTCACAGGCAGAGGCAGCAATGCTTCTGAATAACAGTTGCTGGAAGCCACAGGAGGGCTTTTGTGCTCAGATGCTGCTTGCTGCCTTCCCACTAAACCATCTGGTTGGCCAATGGGAGAGCAGGATGCTGTTCCAGCTGGGCCATTGGCCTGATCCAGCAGCTGCTTCTTATCTACCGTATTTTTTGCTCTATAAGACGCACCAGACCACAAGACGCAGCTAGTTTTTGGAGGAGGAAAACAAGAAAAAAAATGTTCTGAATCTCAGAAGCCAGAACAGCAAGAGAGATCGCTGCGCAGTGAAAGCAGCAATCCCTCTTGCTGTTCTGGCTTTTGGGATAGCCGCGCAGCCTGCATTCGCTCCATAAGACGCACACACATTTCCCCTTACTTTTTAGGAGGGAAAAAGTGAGTCTTATAGAGCAAAAAATATGGTACTTCTATATTCCTGACTCTTTTTTTAAAAACGGCTCGGCCAATATGCAGTGCAAGCTCATTTTAATTCTGTTTTCGTAAGTTCAGCTTCTGCCCATTAGATGTGTTCCCTGGGGGGGAGGTGGAGGAGCAAGGAATGAAGCAGCCCAGGATCCATTGGATCCGGCACCTTCCTGCTGCCATTGAGTGACAGCCCTATTGCTGCACCGGCTCAAGGTAGATACTTCAGTCTACCTGGCTGACCTGTTGACCTGCTGGCCCCTCTCTGTTAAGCCCTGCTAGCAGCAGTTGGGTTTAGGATCAGGGCCCTGATTAGATCATAAGTGATAGCTATCCATGTCAAAGGAAAGCCAAGCACACCGTTGCGAATGTTGCTTTTCTTGGTGTCTGATCTTTCTTGCTGCAACCATTTCCTTCCCAGCAGCCCCTGCTGGTGTCCAGAGCGCAGGAGGCAGCGAGCCGAGGGGAAGCCTGCTCTGCCGATCTGGGGGCGAAAGAGCCTCCACCCGAAAGGGGGGCAGAAAGCGATCCAAGTTGCCTGGGAGCGAAGCTGTTGCCACCCAGCAGGTCTTCCCTGCAAGGCGAGGAGAGGTCCGCCGACTCGGGGCAAAGCGAGAGGCGAGCCCCAGAATCTGTGGCTGGATCTTCCGGGAGGTTGAAGCTGCTAAAGGAGATTCCCAGGGATGACTCCTTGCTGGCGCCCAGGGTCAGAAGAGAGGTCCGTCTCCTTTGTTCAAAGGGTTTTGATTGGATTTGGTTAACTCGAGGGCCAGTCAATTCCTACAAAGTGCTTTGGGACACAGATGAGCTGAAATGAATCTGCGCTGCGAAAATCCGTCTTTCGGTTACAAAAGTTCATATGCAAAATGTTCGGGGGGGGGTTGATGTTATTATCAGGTGTCAACATGCACACACATTTTGTGTATGAACTTTTGCCACCGAATGATAGATTTCCACAGCGCAGATACATGCCAATGTTCAATGAATAGCCTTTGATAATTGACATGCAATGGTAGACAGCATTTGATTATGCTTGATAGTTGACATTCAGCGGTAGCTTGCACTTGATTCTATCAGGTTGTTCATCTGCAATTGTATTAGTAGTTTATTTCAGTTGGGAATTGGCATGCAATGTCAGTTTGCTTTTGTGCCAGACAGCTGACATGCAACAGTGGTTACCTTTTGATAGATGACACACAAATGGTATTTAGAATGGGACAACTAACATTTTATGAGATTTCACAACTGTTGCTTGCTAAACTCAAGCCTAAAGCATCCCAGTTTGCAAGGTTAAGATCAATGTAGATTAGAACCTGAACATTCACGTTCAAAACGTGAATGTGGATTTGGAAACTGGGCAGTATTCCGATATTCAGTTTGGCTCCTGGGTTAATTTTGTGGGGCTTAATTCTTCCCTGACAGCAATATCTTTTAAAATTTCTAAATTTTCAAATTTTTGCAGGGAGAGAAAAGGTCTGATGCGGGAAATCGTCCGGTGACTCTTCTGACTGACCACAGCCGCGGGTCAGACCTGTCTGATATCATGGAGGAAGAGGAGGAGGAAGAAGAGGAAGCAAGTCAGCCGTCTGGCAAGGCAGGAGAATCAAAATGGGCTCCAAGTGAATGCCCTGGCAGAGAAAATGGAGAGAAGGTAATCTGTTGGTTCCCTTAACCGCATGAGCAGGGAACCTTTGACTCTCCAGGTGTTGCTGATCTATAACTCACATTAACCCCTAGGAATCTTGGCCAGTGGCCAGGGATGATGGGATTTGTAGTCCAGCAACATCTGGTGGCCCACGGGTGCCCCACACCTGCTTGGAGAAGCTAGAGTTGTGGTCAGTCAGTTGGGTTCACCCAGAGGAGCATTTGTTAATAACAAAGTATATCATGATCTCCTTCTCCAAATGATGGGGTTCAAGTCCCCATCTAGATGCTGACCATGCCTAGATCTGATTAGCTTCAGCAGACTGGTTCACCCAAAAACAGGAATAAAATGGGGTGCATTGACCACTTGGTTCAGGAGATTCCCCTTGTTTGGGAGCGTCCCTAGCCATGCCCCCCAGGGAGAGCCCAAAAATGGAAGCAGCTCTGTTGATCAGGGACCATATTCATCCCACCACACAGCACATAGCAAAATATCAGTTTTATTAAGTACAGCATAATGGCAATCTATGGGACGCGGGTGGCACTGTGGGTTAAACCACAGAGCCTAGGACTTGCTGATCAGAAGGTCGGCGGTTTGAATCCCTGCGATGGGGTGAGCTCCCGCTGCTCAGTCCCTGCTGCTGCCAACCTAGCAGTCCAATAGCACATCAAAGTGCAAGTAGATAAATAGGTACCGCTCCGGTGGGAAGGTAAACGGCATTTCCGTGCACTGCTCTGGTTCGCTAGAAGTGGCTTAGTCATGCTGGCCACATGACCCGGAAGCTGTACAGCAGCTCCCTCGGCCAATAAAGCGAGATGAGCGCCGCAACCCAAGTCGGTCACAACTGGACCTAAGGGTCGGGGGTCCCTTTATCTTTACCTTTAATGACAATCTTATGCCTAATTTCTTCCTGGGAATATGCTCCACTGAACTCAGGGGCATTCACTTCTGACCTCACAGGATCAACTTGTCAAATCCCTTTTCCCCAGAGATCTTCAGCCACCTGAAACACAACCTTTAGCTTTTCATTAGCTATTGCAAGCCATCTCATGAAGGAATGGCGAGTGGGTGAGTTGGGGGAGAAGTTAGCATCCGGCAGCAGTTCTGTTTAGTTGATTGCAGCTTCTGGGAGCTCATGACCAGGACTTGTAAACAGGAGCATTTGTGAGGGTGTTTTGAGTGCTGTCTCATGGCGTGTGTAGGACCAAGAGACGTGGACAGTGAAGGAGATGCTGCAGTGACCTGCAATACCTGTGCCAAGTTTCTTTTCCTGTCTGAAAATGTGCAGAGCTACACCTGTAGCAAGTGCAAACTGGTTGCCTTGCTGGAGAAGAAGGTACAGCAATTTGAGGCCTGCCTATCTACTGAGTTACTAGGCAAGATCCAGAATTTCTCGATAGAGCAGAATGGACTGTGTTGGAACAGCAACACAGGTGGGATGCCCCTACGGAGGAGGAAAATCGGCCATTGCAGGAGACGAACCCCTGGAGGAAGGTGACGCACAGAAACAGGACTGTCAGGAGCCACGCTGTGTCACTGGACCTGCTTGTCTTTATGATACAATGGTTAATTCGAAGCAAGATTCTACAGCAAATTAATTCTAAGGAGGAAGTGCTTACAAATGTTGAGACATGGGAAACCATAGAAATGGATGGACAAATGGAGAGACAGACAGATATGGATTACTAGAGGCTGCCATCCCTGCTCAAATTGCACACAGCTTCTCCCCTTCCCCCCACCCTCTTTTTACAAATCCTCCAATAGGGTCTGTGTTCCGACTTCATGCAAATCCAGGATTGTCATGTGGCACTGCAAACCCTCCTACGTGATGACAGCCTTACATTTATATATATATATATATATATATATATATATATATATATATATATATATAGGAAGATACCCCATTAAGAGTTGTTTGGAGGAAGACAAGCCCTTGTGTTCCACTAGATACCTGCAATATTTATTCAGCCGGACTGCACAGATCATTGAGAGAGGGTAGATCAGGTAGACAGGCCTAAGGAAGAAGACTTGAAGAGCCAAGCAGGAAAAAAGAAAAACCCTTTCTGACCTGCTAAAGTTGCGAGACGTTTACACAGGATGAAAAGGCTGGTGTTTGATCCATCGCTGAGCCAGTGTCCTGGGTCCAGATCAGAGCTGGGATACTGGCCAGTTCTTCCACCTGGATGTTCACATACACGCACCCCTCCATATCCCTAACTTCTTTCTATGCAGCCTGACTCCTCTAACTTCATAATGTTGGTCTTCGCAATGGATTTTGGCACAAGAAGAGCCCTGCAGCCACAGGATCAGACCAAAGATTCATCTAGTTCAGCATTCCATTTGCTACAGTGGCCAATCAGATGCCTCTGAGGAACCCATGGGCAAGGCAACAAAGGAAACCACCCTATCCTGCTCTTCCTCAACCCTCCCCAGTAACTGGTGTTCTGAGGTAGATTGCCTCTGGCTGTGGAGGCTCCATTTAGCAACCACAGTTAATATAGCCACTGATAGATGTAGCCAGCCTCCTCCATGGACTTGCCTAGCCCTCTTTTATTGCCATCCGAAGGATTGATGGTAGGTAGGCGCTGTTCCCCCATCCCTTTTAACACCTATTTCCTCTTTCTCTCTCCTTCTCCCTTGCTGGCCTGTTCTGGAACACAGCTGGACCTTGGCGACACCGATAGCGACGAAGAGATCCTGGAACGGATCCTGGAGATGCCATTGCAAAAAAACTGCAGCAAAGCACTTTTCAGCATCCCAGAAGTAACGGAAGAAGAGGAGGAGGAAGAAGATTGGGACCACGGCCTGAACAGACCAGTTTCACCCCCTCTGGCAAGGAAGTCTTCTGATGGCTTCCGGGATAGGTCTCCCTACAAAAGAACAGAAGCTCCTCCTCTTCCTGTGGATGCTCCACCGAAGAGGAACCAGGTTCCGTCAGAGGAGGAAGTCTTGCTGGATGTCCCCGGGAAGTTCAGGAGAGAGGGTGTGAGTGAAATGCCAGCTTACCCTGGGAACTGGGAGTGGGATTGCCCTGAGATTGCTGTGGAGAGGAAGTCTTCCCAGTGGGGAAGGCCCAGCCGTTGCAGAGAGAAAGGACTCGCTCCATCCCAGGGAAACAGGAAGAGGAAGGTGGATATACAAGAACGACCCACCCGTTCCATGCTGAGCAGTTCCCACCAAGGCGGAGGAGGCCTCTACAGGGCCCGGAGCCTGAAGGAAAACTTGGACGTGATCACCAGCCTCGGGGTGGAGGACAAGTCGGATCTGTGCAGCTGGGCGAGGCAGAGACCCCGCCAAAGGAGGACGGTGCCCCTCGAGGCGGCGGGGGAGGAAGATGGCCCCGGAAGCCTCTCCCGCTGCCTCAGCCCGGAGAGCTTGGAGATCAACGTCGAGTACGACTCCGACGAGGACATGACGATCACGTCCACCCCGGCCAGCCAGCTCAGTTTGGACGGGAGGGCCGACGGATCCCCCACGGACTGCGAAGAGGGGTGGAGTGACTCCTCCAGCCGCTCGGGGTCGGTCCAGTCCAGCGGGCCGAGGGAGCTGAAGAGGTGCAGCAGCTGGGAAGAGGAGAGTGGGGAATGGAGCACGTCCCCCAGCCGCTCACCCGGGAGGCTCTGCTGGAGGAGGAGGGCCTCCGCGGGTGCCTCTGAGGAGAGGAGCCGGAGCCTGGAGAGGAACCCCTCTCTCTGGAGAGGCGGGCTGGAGCGGCCTTGGAAGGATGTCCTTCCATCGTCACACCCACGGGTCTGTGAGCTGCCCCCTTCCCCTGCCGCCATTGCCGCAGCTTGCCGCAACCCTGACCATGCTTTCTCTCCCCAGCTCCCCAGCTTGCTTGCTTTCTGATTCTTGTGCTGAGTGCTTTGCTGGAAACAGAGGCGCCTCCTATTGTCCTAACAGCTGGAGCTTGTGGTGCATTTGTGATGCTCCTTCGTGTGGCTTTTCTTATGTTTCACTCCAAAATCAACTTGGCTGGCTGGAGGCTTCCCATGCAGTATTCCTCTTCCCAAAGGGAAACCCTGTTGAAGAATTAAATGTTTTCAGAATTCGAGGACACATTCCAGCCCTCTCAGCGAAGGGTCAAAGCTGGGTTGGCGAGGGGTGTGGCCTAAGGTGAGGGGTGTGGCTGAGGAAGGGGGTGTGGCTTATGGAGAGCCCCCTAGGCCATAGGCCTGGGGGGTTGGGCCACATTTGGCCCATGGACCTGATCTTCCCTCCCACTGCATTGTGGGTTTGGGGACACGTCAGAGGTAACTTGTACCACAAGGTCAAACACAATGGACTTTCCCAACATCTTCTTGGGTCCAGATTCCACAAGTTTCCAGAAGAGGAATATTGCATCTTGTAGCTTTGCTTTTGCATATGTGCGTGTGTTTGTGTGATTCCGCCCTGGCCATAAATTTTCAGATCTCGTGAGGCTGGATCAGGGACTAATTCTGCCAAGGGTTCTCTTCCAGGTGTCGGGCAATGGCAACCTTGAGCTGCTGAACTCAACCTCTTGGCAGGTCCCTACCAGGAGAGGCAGGCGTCCCCGAAGAAGGTCTCAAGATGTAGCAGAACCTCCCGACACAAATTCCGGTAAGCTGCTTAGAAATATAGAAATATAGAACTGTAGAGTTGGAAGGAACTCTGAGGATCATCTAGTCCAATCCTATGCAATGCAGGAAAATGCAGCTGTCCCATACAGGGATAGATCCTGCAACCTTGGCATTATCAGCACCACTCTAACCAACTGAATTATCCTAGAAGGGTTTTTTTTGTGAGTGGGGAAAGCTACAAGGAGGGATCCAGTACCAGTCATAGGCATTTTTGGGGAGGAGGGAATAATCAGGGCCTGGGGGATTGATCCAGTGCTTTGCTGGGTCCAGAACCTGGCCCAAGTGCTCTGGGCTGGCAGACAGACTTAGAACTGGCCTTGGTCTACTTCAGGGTTTCCCAAACTTGGGTCTTCAGCTGTTTTTGAACTACAACTCCCATCACCCTGACCACTGGTCCTGCTAGCTAGGGATGATGGGTGTTGTAGTCCAAAAACAGCTGGAGACCCAAGCTTGGGAGACCCATGTCTAATTGCACCCTTTTTTGTGTGTCTCGGACAGACTCTTGGAGAAGCCCTTCCCCTGAACCAATGGACTCTGGGGGCTCAGCCCGACTCTTTGTGGCCCTCTTTGACTATGACCCTCCCTCAATGTCTCCAAACCCCGACGCAGCTGAGGAAGAGCTCCCCTTTCAGGAGGGACAGATCCTGAAGGTAAGAGCAGAGTTAAGGAGAAAGTGGACAGTTCCGTTTCCCCCAGGTTATTAATTTATGTGGGAATGTTCAGGGAAGCAGGAGAGGATATATTAATGATGCCCTTCCTAACTTGCGTTAGCAAGTTCTATATCTTAGCAGAATTTAAACTTGCTTGTTGCAGGCTCATCTGAGCCTCTCTATATAAGATTCCTAGTAAGATCCCTTCTCGTCCCTCTTAAAAAGAATAGACACGACAATCTTATTAAAGTCAATATAAAAGTAATTTACTCACATTCATTCAGTTCACAGTTGGATCCCTGAAGGCAGACTTAGGTTACAAAAGTATATATACATGTGGAACTATCCCATACGGGAGTTAGTCCCAAGTGACTGCTGACAGAAAAACAAAATGGAGAAAAAGAGAAAAGAAGAATATGTGCTCCCCTACCCAGGTTAGGCCACGCCCACATGTAGTCACATGCAGAGTAAGTCTGTCCCAGCTCAGGAGGAAACAGGAAGTTTTCTCCTGGCTGGTAGAAAGCATCCCCTAGCATGTCCATTCTAGGAATGCTGTACTTGACTGCTATGTGTTTCACATCCCACAATTTAGATAGTCAGGAGCCTCCAGCCCTCGGGCCTTCAGGCCTACCAGAACCCTCCCCATTTGGCCCATGAGGCCATTACACACAAGCCACACCCACTTGACATCAGATGTGGGACAGGTATAGGTGGAGAAGGGCTTGCCCACCTATCAAACTTGGTCAATGGGGTGCAGGATATCTGTCCCATGGATTTAGTTCTTGATTTGGATAGCAAACGCTTCTCCCAATCCTTTTGCTTATTGTTTTTATTTTTTTAAATTAACCTTTTTAATTTTCTTAAGTTGCATAACTACCATGATGAATTAAAATCTTAGCAAAACAATATCGCAAAATCAAGATTGTAACCTATCAAACAAAAATCCCAAGAGCCTTCTTTGTGCAAACACTTGCAGAGAAATTTACAATAAATGTAGAGGTGCAGTATTCATAGTCATAAAGAAGAGAAACCAAACATTCAACAAACCCATATATATTGGAGCACATCCCTTTTGTGGTCTGAAATATTTGTACTAGTGATAAAGCTCCACTTCTCTTCCGCAAATGCATGTCTTTGTTTACTTCCTCTAGATATTCTTAACTTACATGTTATGTTTCTCCACAAAGGCTATCTGCCAAATCTTTTTGTATCAGGCTGTTAAATTAGCTCCTTTAAGATCCTCCCCCAAAATGACAACGGTCACACATGCAGTGACCATTAAGTATCCTGTCAAGTCCGCATTATCACCTGCAAATAAATTTAGAAGACCTAAATCTGGAGTCTTCCTAATGGAACAGTGCTTCTCAAAGTCAACAGTATCACACCCAGGTGGGGAGTGGGATTACCTAGGGGGGCACCAAGAAGCAAGGGAGCTACAAGGCAGCCTCTGGCTTGACCAGGCTAAAGCCTAGAGGAAAACATATTTCTCACTTTCTATTTAAACTTTTACTAATCACTCTCAATACTTATTTCCTTTGGCCACGGTTGTTTGTATTTATGATTCCGAGTTGTCACAAGCTAGCCAATTATCGGTAATAGCTGCTATTGATGAATCAAGTTCATCAATTTGATAATGAATCAAGTTAATCAATTTTGTTGAATTAAACAAAATATTTTAAATTGAATTTTGAATAAATATGCAATTAATTGTTACTGTTTTGAATTTTATGGTGTTACCATCTTTCTTGGTGGGTTGTGCAAACCACTCTTCTGAATGGTAGGGAGCACTGGGGATGAGTCAGTGGCCTGAAAACTGCTGTAATAGATGACAGAATCATTTTATCCACTGCACTGAAAACTTGATCCCAGAACAGCGATAGCTTGGTACATGTCCACCACACATGCTTGTAGTTACCTTTCTCATTTCACCCCTGTTAAAAAGCTGCTGGCGCATTCCTTTCTCCAAATTTCTTTTTGCCTCAATGAAGACTCAGGTTTTGTTTCATTAAGGCCATCATAAAAATATATGGTGCATCTGCTTCTGGAATGCTGTGTAACATTCTGGTCACCTCACCTCAAAATGGGTATGCTGGAGTTGAAAAAGCTTCAGAAAAGTGCAAATCAAATGATCGAGGGGATGGAGCAAGTCCTCTTGGAAGGAAGGTTGCAGCATTTGGGACTTTTCAGTTCAGAGAAGAGAGCAAGAGGCGACATGATAGAAGTTTTTAAAATTACCGTATTTTTTGCTCCATAAGACGCACCTGGCCATAAGATGCACCTAGTTTTTAGAGGGGGAAAGCGGCTCTTGCTTTAAAGCGAGAGCCGCTTACATGGCTTCTGTCCCGCTTTGTGCAGCTCTCACTTTGCTTGCCCATCCCTCCTCCCGCCTCGCTGTAAAGCACTGTGACGCCGAAGCAAGAAGAGGAGGAGGAGACACCAGGACAGGTGCTCTGCTTGCTTTACAGCGAGGTGGGAGGAGGAATGGGCAAGCAAAGTGGGACAGAAGCCATGTAAACAGCTCTCACTTTGCTTGTTCCCATCCGTCCCTCCTCCCGCTTCGCTGCGAAGCCAGCAGAGCAAGAGGTGTTGCGCAGCTCTCGCTGAAGCCAGCAGAGCAAGAGCGATAGCCGCGCAGCGGCTCTTGCTCTGCTGGCTTTAGAGCGAAGCAGGAGGAGGGACAGAAGGGAGCCCTTACATGGAGCTCCTTCCATCCCTCCTCCAGCCTCGCTGTAAAGCCAGCAGAGCAAGAGCCGCTGACACGTTCTTGCTCTGCTGAAAAGCGAGAGGTGCGCAGAGTGTGTCAGTGGCTCTTGCTCTGCTGACTTCACAGCGAGCAACGGACAGGAGCCATGGCTCCAGCTGCGGAGGTATCCCTCAGCTTGCGACTGCAGCGGCAGCCGAGGGATCCTTCTGCCGCCCAATGCATTCGCTCCATAAGACGCGCACACATTTCCCCTTACTTTTTAGGAGGAAAAAAGTGTGTCTTATGGAGCGAAAAATACAGTATGTATGGCTTGGAGAGAGTGGGTAGAAAAATGTTTTCACCTTCTCTCATGACTTGTGGGCATCTAATGACAGTCCTTCTTCACACAGAGCACAGTTGAACTGTGGAACTCCCTCCCACAAGGAAGCAGTTATGGCCACCAATTTGGACGGCTTTAAAAGAGGATTGGACAAATTCTCAGAGGAGGAGAGTTCTATTGATGACTATTAGCCATGATGGCTCTGCTCTGCCTCCATAGTTAGAGGCAGCAATGCTGCTGAATAGCAGTTGCCGGAAGCCACAGGAGGGATGCTCTTGTGTTCAAATCCTGCTTGCAGGTTTCCCATGTGGGCATCTGGTTGGCCCCTGTGAGACCAGGATGGTGGGCTAGATGGTCCCTATTTGGCCTGACCCAGCAGAACTCTTCTTCTGTTCTCATGTTTGTTTGCTGGTTTTATCACATTGATATCACACTTTTTATCTTCCCATCAGCTGAAGGTGCCATTCTGGTCAAAGGTCATCCAGAGAGCTTGAGTCAAATTGGTCACCTCGGGAGGAGCTTTTTCACTCCCTCCCCCTCCCCCTATGAGAAACTCTGCTTTGGTGGTGCTGATAACAAGAGGAAGTTCGATTCTGCAACGTTCCTAAATTAAGCAACAGTTTGAGGTCCCGTAGTGGTTTCTCTTCTGTATCAAGACTCCTTACGAAATTTTGACCACTTTGCTTTTCTAAATCTGCTTATGGGAAGAGGCGAAAAACTCTGCCACTTCCCAAACCCTTGTCACCATCCTCCACTGTGAACCTTTTTCAGCACCCTTGTGCACAATTTTTAAGAGAGGGAGAGAGAACTGTTTGCTAGGTTTCCTTTTTAAAAATATATTTTAATTTTTACAGAAAATTTCCAAAAATCAAACAACATATTTTCTTGTCTTATACAATGTTTTGGACTTCCATCAGCCGCATCTGAAGATTTTTCAGTCTTTATCACTTAATCTGCATTTCATTAGTTTCACTATTACTTTTAATAGTCTTTCACTAATAATTCTCTTCATACTTTTCTCTGCAATATTTCACATAGTCCTCCTTACGAAACTTCTTGCAATCCTACTAGTGTAATCTGTTGATTACAGTTGCTTTTCAAATAATTCACATATTTACTCCAGTCTTCTGAGAATCTCTGATCCCGCAGGTTTCGAATCCTTCCTGTCATCTTATCTAATTCTGCATAGTCCATTAATTTCGTCTGCCATTCTTCTTTTGTCGGTAATAGATTTCCAGATACAAATACGCATTTCAACAGTGTGCTCCCTAGGAAATCTAAATACTTAAAATGCCTCTTTGCAAATATGGTTTGAAGATCCAGCAAGGCTCTTTTTGTGTTCTTAATATCTCTCTGACTGCTCCCCCCCAAAAAACTCCCTTGCAAATTATTGTCCATCTTTCTTGTTGTTTCCTCCTCCTCCAGGTTTATGGCCACAAGGATGCTGACGGATTCTACAGAGGAAAATGCGGGGGGAGAACGGGCTATGTCCCCTGCAACATGGTCTCCGAGGTCCAGGTGGACAGCGAGGCCACCAGGAAGCAACTCCTAGAGGAAGGACGGATCCCTACAGACATGCTGGTGGAAAGTCTAGGTGCTCCACCCTGCCCCTTGACCTCGGGGTGGGATGGGGAACCTCAGGTCCAGGCCCAGATGTGACCCACCAGAAAACACTGGCCCACAGCACTCTCCCCAGGCCATTCAATCCCCATCTCACCCTCCCCTCAAATGCTTTTGCCTGCCTGGAAGGTATCGTTGAATTGTGGTCACGCCGCTTGCAAGCCAGGATGCAGTGTGTTGCGTATCCCCAAATCCAGACCACAGTGATTGAGAGCTGAACCCACCAACTGAAATTAATATTGCAAAAAGATTTCTTAACATTTCATTATCTTGAAGATTGCTGATTTGCTTGGGTTTTGTTTTGGTTTTTTTAATGCAGATAACGGTGTGTTTTCCCCGCCTCCTCGTCGCCTCACAGTTCGCCCACCAAAACCTCGGCGGTCCAAAAAAGGTCTGTATCGTGTCCGAGGTGTTGGTTGTCTCTTACACAGCCCTCTCAAGTCCCATTTGAAGAGATTGTCACAAAGCTGAGAAACAAAAAACACAGTCCATGCACAAGATGTGGGGAAGGGCTTAGCTCAGGGTTGGAGCACCTGTTTTGCCAGTAGAAGCTCCCATGTTTGAACCCCAGCATCTCCAGGGCATGGGAAAATACCTGAAATCTTGGAAAGCCACTGCCAGTCAGTGTAAATGGTCCTCCTGAACTAGGCAACTCAAGGTTTTGATTCAAGAAAAGGAGCCTGTGTTCCTACTTAAATCAGCCCCTTTATTCAGAACAATGAGGACTAGAATGTTGCTTGATTTTTAAAGGAAGAGCCACTTCTCAGTGGTTGGCGACATGCATTGCCTGCAGAAGGTCCTAGGTTCAGTTGGGAAAAACTTATGCCAGCCAGTGTAGACCAGCAATGGAGAACCTCAATTCCAGGGGCCAAATCCAGCCCTCCAGGTTTCTCTGTCTGGTCCTCGGGACTGTCTCTAGGAAACACACCCTTCTGGTGGTCAGACAGAGAGGCCTGGAGGGCTGGATTTGACCCCAGGGCCACACCCCTCACCAGCCTTGCTTTGCACCCTGCTCGAGTAATTTTACCTGGTTAGGAGGTGCCCTTGAACTCTAAAAAAGTTTCTTGCTTCTATAGATGGAGGACGATGCTTTTCCACAATGGCTTTGTGTGCGCTCTGGGAATCTGGGTTTCTTAGAGCTGGCAAACAAACACAGTCCATTCACAGGGTTGTAGCTCAGGGCCAGGACACCTGCTTGGCAGGTAGAAGCCCCAGGTTCATTTCCAGCTGAGGAACAGAAAAGATCCGAAACTCTGGAGGATACCCATAGGCTAAAAGGCGTTCCTCACCCCTGCTGTATGGACCATCTTGAACTAGGTGGACCAAGGATCTAACTTTGTAACAGACAGCTTCCTGTGTCTCGTGGGCTGGTCAGGGTGATGCATATGGAGGCACTTCTTGATACAGCGTATAGTTAAACTATGGAACTCCCTCCCACAGGAGGCAGTGAAGGCCAAAAACCTAGGTGGATTTAAATGAGGATTAGATGAATTCATGATGGAGGAGGAGGAGGAGGCTACTAGCCCCCAATGGCTTGGCTCTTCCTCCACAGTCAGAGGCAGCAATGCTTGTGAATGCCAGTTGCTGGAAACCACAGGAGGGGAGAGGGCTCTTATGCTCGAATCCTGCTTGTGGGTTTCTCACGGGCATCTGCTTGGCCACTATGAGAAGAGGATGCTAGACAAGATGGGCCACTGGCCTGATCCTGCAGGCACTGATGTTCTTATGAGGATGGCTGAGGACTCTACAACATTGTTTTTGAGCTGAGGTGACCAACAGAGGTTCCACCTACTAAGCACAGCAAGATATCGCAGGAAACACATGAAACCTTTAGACCAGGGGTAGGCAAACTAAGGCCCGGGGGCCAGATCCAGCCCAATCGCCTTCTAAATCCAGCCCGTGGACGGTCTGGGAATCAGTGTGTTTTTATATGAGTAGAATGTGTCCTTATTTAAAATGCATCTCTGGGTTATTTGTGGGGTGTAAGAATTCGTTCATATATTTTCCCCCAAAATATAATCTGGCCCCCGCACAAGGTCTGAGGGACAGTGGACTGGCCCCCTGCTGAAAAAGTTTGCTGACCCCTGCTTTAGATGATCCTGCCCCATTCCTCCATATAGGGTAGCAAAGGGGTGTGACAGCATCAGCAGGGGTGGCCTGTGGTAATACGGTGTCCTGAGCAAGAACAAAACTTGACATCCCCTACCTCCCAAGTATTTCTTATTTTCAGAGTAATACCTTTTTTATTTCTTATTATTTTGAACCCCCCTCGGCACAGCAACAGATCAACATCCAAAGCTCTGCCAATCAGAGCACCTGCTTTTGTTATAGCTGCATTTAAGGTTAACCATATGCTCTGCCTGCAGGGCCTCAAACCAGCAATTTGGAAATAACTCTTGGCCAAGTCTTTGTTCTTCAGTAATGGGACGAACGGACACATTGCGTTTCTATTTAAACTGGCTCTTTTGTTTTTCATCCCCACAGTGGAACAGGAGAAGCAAGAAGAGAAGAATCCTTGCTTTGGTGAGCATTGCTTCGTCTTCCATTAGTTCATTGATTCCCAAACTATGTGCGGCGCATAGTTTAAACGATGGAACTCCCTCCCACAGGAGACAGTGATGTCCACCAAATTAGATGGCTTTAAAAGATGATTAGGCAAATTCATGGAGGAGGAGAGGGCTATGGATGACTACTATCTGTGATGGCTGTATTCTGCCTCCACAGTCAGAGGCAGCAACACTTCTGAAAACCACTTGCTGAAAACCACAGGAACAGAGAGAGCTGCCACCGTGAGAACAGGATGCTGGGCTAGATGTGTGGGAATGTTCTGGGCTGCAGGAGAGGATATATTGACTAAGTATATCCTTATCCAACTTGTGCTAACAAGTTCCCAAAATATCAGCAGAGTTTATAGACATTCCCCTTTAAGTTCGCAACGGTAACGTCTGCACAGGTTCGCTAGAACCTCTATAATAATTACTCTGGTAATTTCCCCTTTGTTCCCTCTTAAAATACAAGACACGACATAGTCTTTATAAAAGTATAAAAGAGTTTACTCACGTTCTGTTCACAATATGATCCCAGAAGGCAGACAGCTTTAAAAGGGTTACATACATTCAGAATCTATCTTATACGAAGATAGTCCTTATCTCCTCTCTTGGCTGAGAGCCAAGAGGGCATGTTGCTCCTTCAGAAGATGAAGATGAGAGAGAGAGAGATATGGCTGCCTGTCCTGTGCTTTTATCATTACCTGCACAGGTGAGGCCACACCCACCTCTGGTCACATGCGGAGGAAGTCCGTCCCAGGAAGTTTACCTGCTTGCTGGACTGACATCCCTCCCCATGTTCTAACATGTACACTCTAGGAATGTTGTCATTGACTGCTCCTGTGTTTTACATCCCACAAGATGGGCCACTGGCCTGATCCAGCAGGCCCTTCTTATGTTCTTCTGCTCTGGGCGGCAGGCTGAAATAAGGAGCTGTGACCGTATGCTTCCTTTTCTCTGCTAGATGCTCACAAAGGTCAGGATCTGAGCTCTGAGGACGATGCCCCAAGGACTATGGTGGCCATCTTTGACTACAACCCCAAAGAGAATTCTCCCAACCTGGATATGGAGGTGAGCAAAAGCGGCTGGTCACCCAGTATTTCCTGGGCTAGTAAAGCACTCGAAGGTTCTTTGGTGATGATAAGCAAAGGCTAGTCAGTTTTAATAGCATTTGGGGCAATTCTGTCTCACCCTGGGAAGCCTCTGAGCCTCCCCACCCACTCTGCCTACAGTCATGAGGTGGCAAGAGGACTTCTCTTAACATCGTGTTTTCCCTGATACTATCTTCACCCTTCAAAGTAGGTCAGGCCAGCCTTCCTCAGATACGTCTGCAGATCAGCCCTGTCTTCACACACATTTCCAAGGTCACTCTCCCACCCAGCCCCCAACTTTCTCATTGTCTGCACTGTTTTCCTTCTAGGCAGAGCTGAGGTTTTGCGCTGGGGATATTGTCACTGTGTTCAGTTCCATGGACGATGACGGGTTCTATTACGTAAGTACAGCGTCCTTGCTTTTTATCCAAACTGTTCAGGCACTAAATGATGTATCTGAATAAAATCAGAGGGGCTGCTGCATCAATATGGGGTTTTGCCAACTCTTCCACTTAGACTTAGTCACCACCACTTTGAAAGCTCTGCCATCGTTGACCTTCGCCGGGTTTCGTTATAAAGAGTTGTTGGCAATTAAGAGCTGTGGAGGCGTCCTTTTTTTCAAGGCAGCTGAGCTGGTCCACCACTTAATTAAAATAAGCTTTGGGGAACCTGATTGGTTCGATCAGAGATGGATGAAAACTGGTTGGCCGCTTATACACGACATTTGCACAAGACGTAATGGACATGAGGCACACACTGCCACAAAGCAGGACAGCGGTCACCAGTTTGGGTGGTTTTCGAAGGATGTGATGCGGTCAGAGAGGACTGACTTAGCAAGGCCTATCAATGATGAAAGCTATATGTAGAACCTCCATGCACAGGGGCAGTCAATCACCAGCATCTGGTACTCTGAGGTTTAGTGAACACTAAACGAAAGAAGACGCTGGACTAGATGGGCCCCTTTTGCCTGATCCGTAGAATCATAGAATTGTAGAGTTGAAAGGGCCACAAAGGGTAATCTAGTCCAACCCCCTGTAATGCAAGACTCACAGCTGGGTTCAGGAGCATTCTCTTTTGCATGCACAAAACCTCCTATGCCAATCTCTGATTCGCCAGTCCCAGACTTGTATATAGAACAGAGCAGAGCTATCCATCAGATTATGCACAGCTCCAGATTATCTTGCCATGCACTCTTGGTTCAAACCCGTGCATGCAAAATGTGTGTTTTGTAGATAAAATGTGCACAAAATGTATACAATTCAAATATACATTTTTCTTGCACTTTTTTAATCTGTGGAAGATGGGATGGAGCAGACCTATGGCTGGGCCCCAATGAAACTGAGGCACAATGCAAATAGCCTGAACTTTCCATCTTCTGTTCCCTAATATTATGGGGGGGGGGGAGGCAGATCTCACAGTTCCCTTTTCCCATTGGTTTGTCCAACTTACTTCTGACAGTGCAACGTTAAACTATGGAACTCACTCCCACAGGATGCAGTATGTCTCACAACAAATGAAACTGAATTGTAGAAAACACAACTTGAAAAAAGAGACAATAATACACGTGTTTTTGTACAATAAGAAATATTTAATAAAAATATATATTTTAAAAAAACACTAACTTGGAAGGTTTTACAAGAGGAATAGACAAACTCATGAAGGAGAAGGCTATTGGTGGCTACTAACCATGATGATAGCTATTTCCTGCCTTCACAGTTGGAGGCGGAAATGTTTCTGAATACCAGTTGCTGGAAATGTTTCTGAATACTAGTTGCTGGAAACCACAGGAGGGGAGAGGGCTCTTGTGCTCTAATCCTGCTTTCAGGCTTAATGGGCATGTGTTTGGCTTCTGGGAGAACAGGATGCTGGATTAGATGGGCCACTGGCCTGATCCAGCAGGCTCTTTTGTGTTCTTATAAAGCTCCTGTGCTTTAAAGAAGTGTGTGACCGACAGAAATTCAACAGGGAGTTTCTTTGTCATGGCTACATCTCCTTGCTGGGGAAACAACTGCCACTGAAGTTTTGGCATTGAGCACAACAAAGAAGAAGAGGAAGAAGAGTTTGGATTTGATATCCCGCTTTATCACTACCCTAAGGAGTCTCAAAATGACTCACAATCTCCTTTCCCTTCCTCCCCCACAACCAACACTCTGTGAGGTGAGTGGGGCTGAGAGGCTTCAGAGAAGTGTGACTAGCCCAAGGTCACCCAGCAGCTCCATGTGGAGGAGCAGGAAATCGAACCCAGTTCACCAGATTACGAGTCCACCGCTCTTAACCACTACACCACACTGGTTCTCACTCTGTGCTCCTCACTCTGAATGGCTTTTAGGTGTCCACCAGGGAGTCTCATTTACCTTGTGGGCTATAGAGGCATTTCTCTTCTTTCTCTGCAGGGGGAGGTGAATGGGCAGAAGGGCCTTGCACCATCTAACTTCCTGGAAGCAATGTCCTTGGATGGAGAGCTACCTGCGGAGCCCAACCTTGGAAGGCAGGTAAGGGGGGTGCCTTGCTGGATCGGGGCCTAGCTGCAAATGCAGGCTTTGATCAAGGCTTTAGAATAGTGGTTCCCAAGCATTTTGGGGCTGCCACCACCTTAGATTCATCCCCACTGCCCCCTACCCTAACAGCATTATTCAGAATCGCAGTTTGCACAACCCACTAAGTAAGATAACAACACAGCAAAGTTCAAAAGAGCAACAATTAATTGTGCATTTGTTCAAAATCCAATTAAAACTCTTCAATGGATGAACTTGGCCCAGTGATACCAGCTTTTCAAAGCCGCTTGATGGTCGTTGACACCCCCAGTGCCCCCCTGCTGCCCCCCATGGCTCTTAGCACCCCCTAGGTAATCCCGCCGGTACCACCCACTGCTCTAGTCTAGAACATCAGGAAATGGGCATGTCGCTTCCTACCCAAGCACCCCACAACCTGGATTTCAGCAGGCAATTTGTGGCATGCTCCCAACTGCCCCAGTTTAACCAGAGACAGTCCAAAATGATCTCGGTCCCCATTTGGGGCATTTGGGGAGTTCAGAGTTTGGCCCCATGGGGGTTGCAAGTCTCTGCTGCCTACTGACTCAGCCTCCTTCCCTAGAGCAGAGCTTTCCAAACTTTTCATGTTGGTGACGAATGAACTGCTTTTTCAATCAGTGGGGAACGGGCAGTAAGCAGGTTTTTATTTTTATCTCTATAATGTTGGACAGCATATTGTTACCTTCACAGAATCATAGAATCACGGAATTGTAGAATTGTAGAATTGAAGGGACGCCCCCCAGAGTCATCTAGTCCAACCCCCTGCAATGCAGGAGTCACAGCTAAAGAATCCCTGACATTGTTTTATTTTGACCCCACTTTCCCATTTGTTGTAAACTAATTCTTTATTTGCCTGGCTTTGCACGTCCAACGGTTGGTTGCGTCCCTCAGAGAATGAGAAAGCGGAGAGTCCAGTGACACACGCCAGGCAGGCAGAGGGAGACAGAACGACGGAGAGAAACCATGTAAGCAGCCTTTTCAGAAAATTCACAAGAGCAGAATTTTGTGCTTAGGTGTCGCGTGCAGCAGCTGGCAGCCACCAGCCATCATGGGCCATTCAGCAAATACCTTCAGCTAGTGAAACGGAAAGTCAAAATCACTTCCTCTTAATGCCAAACTTGGGCAGTGGGTGCAGACAGAAATAGAGGGGAAATGGGTCTATTGGGAAACAAGAGGGCAGGAATCAACATGCTCTTGAGGGAATTCCAAGGTTTACAGAAGTACATGTGTGTTGGTGGAAGCGAAACAAAAGAACTGCCAAGCAGCTGAATCCCAGTGAGGACTGAGCATGCTCAGTAAGCGTGGAATGTTGAGTGTCAGTTGGAAAAGAAAACAAGAAAACTGGGAGAAGGGATGGAATAGGGAGAAGGGATGGAATAAATTGAAGGGGGACAGCTGTCTGGAACCCTGAAAAAGGACCAGAGCAGTGGGGGCATACTTGTGTATCGCTACAGATAACATCCTCTGCCTTTTCTTTTTCTTTGCTGCCATCTTCCCTTCCCTTTCCTTCAGCAGCGGCATTCACCAGATTATGAGGCACAGCCTTCTGTCTTGGAGTAGCAGCTAGATAGCCCCATGCCATCTCAGTCAGATGAGAGCCTTTGACCCATGGGCCTCTCGTGCTTCGGACGTATCAGCTTGGAAGAAGGAGAAGATAAGCTTCTGTGGGTCTGAGCAAGGCTGGCGATGACGCAGAGCTGAGACGCTGCAGTGCAAGATGAATTCTGATTACCAGAAACTTAAGCCTTGCTGGCAGTTTACTTCCAGGAACTGAGGATGTGCTGGTCGCTCTGTGAAGCGCTCTAGAAAGGGACTCCGACAGGAACATTTGCCATTTTAGTTTACCTTTTCTCTGATGTGTGGTTTTGGCCGTGATGTTGTCCGATGGATGTTTCCCATCTCCATTATCTGAGAAAACGTTCCCCTTGGTTAGGAACCAAAGCTCCTTTCCCTAGGCCTGCATGGGGTGGGGTGGGGACTCTCCACCAGTCCAGGATTTTCCTTGAGGCCTCCCACTGGTCTGTTGGGGATAGATTTTTACAGCAGGGGTATCTGAGAAAAAGACGGACAGTGATCCCACCACGATGTATGTGTGTCATGTTTTCTGAAAGCTGAAATAGATTTTACTTGGGATTCCCACCCACTGGCTATTCATGCAGATTCACACTACAGGCCTCGTGCAATTTATAATCCAGATCATGGAAGATTCTAAATTGCTAGCAATTGTGGCAGAGTTTTCCCTCTCACACTAGGATCACCATTTGAGGATTTAATGCCAGATAGGCCTAAGCGGATGAGGAGACACATATGGTCATCCAGATGTGGTTCCCCAGCAGCCACCATGGCCAATGATCTGGGATGATGGAGGAGATGGTGACTTGCCATGCTGGTTGTACTTTGCCCCCTTGGTCAGAGGCAATAATGCTTCTGAAAACCAGTTTTCTGGAAATCGCAGAAAGGGAGGGTGCTCAGGTCCTGCTTGCGGTCTTCCCAGAAGAGGCATTTTGCTGGCCACTGGGAGAACACGATGCTGGAGGGCACTTCTGAACTCCCTCTGAATGAGGCACCAACAGTTGCTGGAAACCACAAGAGGGAAGAGTTGCTCTTGCGCTTGGGTTCTGCTTGCAGGTTTCCCATCCCACAGGCACCTCGTTGGCCACCGGCCTAGACGGGCTTTTGGTTTCATCCAGCAGGCTCATCGTATGTTCTTATGACTCCACCAACATTTGAACAACCCAGAGCCTCTGGGTAATTTTGGTCACAGTGACTTAGCAGTCTGGGAGCCCTCGTCTCCTCAGAGTCTTTTCACATTCTTGCACTGGATCAGATCCTGAGGGCCATTATAGTTCTCTTTGCCACTGGGCAGGGTGTTTTAAGACAGGTCAGCTGAATAAGGTCCTCCCCCCTACTCTTGAGGATTCTCACTTCATATCTTTTTACAGTCCTTGAAATTCCTCAAGTGTTTCCCTCAGTTCAACACCCCAAATCTCGGGATTTTACATTCTGCAAAATTCAACTTCACAGCACTCTTTTCATAATAGCTTCGTTTCCTACCTCACCAAACCTACCAGAACATGCAGGTGACATTTGGCAGGACCCATTCCATAGATTTCTGGCTGCGTGATAAGGACAGCCTTGCTGGGTGAGACCAAAGGGCTCTATCCTGTTTCCCATATGCTTCCAGGAAGCTCACAAGCAGAGCAGGGGGAAAACCTTCAAAGTATTTTCAGAACCAAGTGTTTTGATAAAATCCAGCACCTTTCACACATTCCCACATCTCCGGGGCTAGTGAAAAAATCCCCCAAGCAGGTTGGTCGAGCATGGGACTATAAAATAGGCCCAAAATTTCTCCTTAAATGAAATTTCTTGTTCTGTAGAAACTCTGGAGAAATTTCTTTTTTTAAAAAAAAAGAAGGAAGCAAGAAAGAGCTTTGATAAAGATACGGACGTGTGAGTTCTTGTGGTGGTGGAGAGAGGCAGTCTGGCCCTCATCACTACATCCCACTGTGCCAAACAAATATGGCAGCCCCAAAGGGTCATGTGACCCTCTCCTCAGGTCTGCCTTATGTGAGCTGTCAAGCACTTCTGGCTGGGGAGGGGGCACAGTGCCAGCAGGTACACCCAGCTTGAGGAGTGTGTCTCTTGTGTTGAGGAGAAACCTGTATTCCAGGCCAAGGGGTGTTTCAAAACTATAGACTAATGGTGTGACTCTCATTCTTGCAACTGATGTTCCTCTGCATGTTTTTTGAGAGGGGAAAATCATGCTCATCCTGTTCACTCTGGGTCATTGAGTGGAGGGTGTCGGGGTTTGGATAAACTATGTTTTTATTTAAAAGAAAACTAATTTATTACATTAAAGTCTATTTTCACAAAAAAAGGAGACTGTTGCCATTAGACGTTTACTTCTTTCTATGGAGGGGTTTGCGGTAACCTAGTGTGAGGCCGTGGAAAAGGCAAATTCCATGCTAGGGATCATTAGGAAAGGAATTGAAGGGGAATCTGCTAATGTCATTATGGTGATACCTCAGTTGGAATACTGTGGTCAGTTCTGGTTGCCTCGCCTCAAAAAGGATGTTACAGAGTTGGAAAGGACTCAGAAAGGAGCAACCCAAATGATCAAGGGAATAGGAACGACTCCCCTATGAGGAATGGTTGCAGCGTCTGGGGCATTCAGAGAAAAGGCAAGAGAGAGGTGACGCGATAGAAGCTTATAAAATTATGCCTGGCATGGAGAAAGTGGGTAAAGAAAAGTTTTCCTTCCATTTCTCAAAACACCAGAACTCATAAACATCCAATGAAGTTGAATGTTGGAAGATTCAAGGTAGATAACAGGAAGGACTTTTTCATGCAGTACAGTGGTACCTCAGGATGCAAACGGGATCCATTCCAGAGCCCCATTCGCATCCTGAACAGAACGTAAGATGCGACAGCGCATCTGCGCGTGCGCGGGTCGCGTTTCGCCGCTTCCGCGCATGCGTGTGACGTCATTTTGAGCATCTACGCATGCGCAAGTGGCGAAACCCAGAAGTAACAAGCCCCCGTTACTTCCAGGTCACCATGGAGCACAACCCGAAAGCACTCAACCTGAAGTGTATTTATCCCGAGGTGTGACTGTATAAACTGTGGAACTCCTTCCCACAGGAGGCAATGACGGCCTGCCACTCAGTGGCGTAGCGTGGGGGGTGCAGGGGGGGCCGCCCGCACCGGGCGCAACATCTGGGGGTTAGGGTTAGGGGGCGCAAATCCACGGGTTAGGGGGCGCAAATCCACGGGTTAGGGGGCGCAAATTACTTGCCTTGCCCCGGGTGCTGACAACCCACGCTACGCCACTGCTCCCACTTGGATGGCTTTCAGAAAGGATTCAAGAAATTCATGGAAGGGAGGGCTATCCTTGGCTACTAGCCATGATGGCTTTGCTCTGCCTTCACAGCTGGAGGCAGCAATGCTTCTGAATACCAGTTGCTGGAAACCACAGGAACTTAGAGGGTTCTTGGGCTCGAATTCTCTTTGCAGGTTCCCCACAGGCATTTGGTTGGCCACTGTGGGACCAGGATGCTGGACTAGACGGACCCTTGGCCTGATCTAGCAGGCTGTTCTCATGAGATGTTTTGGGGGCTCACGTCCCTCCCCACACCTTTTTCTTCCAGAACATGTGCCCCTCCCAGCTCACTTCCTACTCATTTGCAAGACTGGTGGGGAAGGCTGTGTCAAGAGAGAGGAGGCCCACAACACAGTCTGTGAGTTGGCAACAGAAAAGCTAGAAATTCCCCTATAGCTGCTGATTCCACCCACCCAGGCAGAAATTCAGCGAATTCAGAAAAGCCAGTCGATGATTTAAAAATAATTTATTGCTGTTTGAAACACTTCCCCATTCATTAGGCTGATGGCACTCTTAATATGGCTAGGGTGTGTGTGGAGGCAAAGCAGATCAACACCACTGCGAGGTCAGACACATTTATCATGATTCGAACTCCGGAGATGGAGACTGAGGGGAAGTTGCCTTGCATAACTTCTAACTGTAGCTGAAATTTCTCATGTGGCCCAATCAACCGTTGCTTTGCAGGGAACTGAAAATTAAATGTTGCAATTGCTATGAATCAAGTGCATTTGCTCTGTCAGGCTCATGATCCAACGGGACTGTTATGGTCTTCTCTGAACACCACCAACATCTCCCGAGGGTTTCGGGAAGAGATCACTTCCAGCTTTGCAGCATGGGCTGGACCAGGGGCTTCCCACCTACAAAGGAAATGCCCTTGGAATGGGATGGCAACCTTGGCTATATAATTTGTTCTAATTTTCCTAGCGGCAGTTGCAAAGAGTGCTACACGCCAGGTCACGTACTTATCTGTGTCTGCAAGGAGATACAAAATCATGTCAGAGGGGTTCTGGCCAGGGGATCATGTCATTATCTAGCATGTCATTATCTAGTTATAAATCTCAGTACATGATAATATATTATGTTGTTTTGCTTGCCTTTTTAAAAGAAAGAACTCAGACTGATGATGGAATGAGACATGGTGAGAGAAGGAGAAGCAGCTAAAAGACAGTGTTGCCATCTGAATAGAAAACACAACTTAGCCTGCTCTTGTGCTTTCAATGTGTAACAAAAACAAAACCCCTGTGTTGCAATACAGAATAATCTGCTCAAATACAGCTGCAACATGTGGCTAATAAGTATGGTAAATGTATTATTATTAGTAGTTAGAATATAATCCAAATTTTAACAATCATAAACTTCATTATGCTGGGAGTGTGCTCTGGTGACTAACCAGAACTGCATGTGCTACAATTGGATCCAGCCCAAATGACTTGATTATTGCAATTAATTAAATAAATTTTAATTAATTAAAGCAATATGTCAATTGCTTTAAATTAATTAAAGCAATACATTGTTTTGGACATAATCTTGCAGCAGAAATTCATGTGGCAACTCTAGCGCTATGAAATAGCAATGGAAAGGTGCCAATTGAGACTTGCCACAATTCCCTGTATTCAACGAACATCCGTGCAGTAGAATATGCTGCAAAGGTGGGGATATGGCCTGGGGGAAATGGCTGCTTAGATTCCTAGCTCCATTCCTGGATAGAGCTTTAATCCTCCCAAAATGTATTACTACAGTCATACTTCGGGTTGAAGGAGCTTCAGGTTGAGTGTTTTCGGGTTGCACTCTGCGGCGACCCAGACGTAACGGAACGTGTTACTTCCAGATTTCACCGTTCTCGCATGCGCAGATGCTCAAAATGACGTTATGCGCATGCACAGAAACGGCGAATCGCCAGGATAACCCTTTGTATAACCCTATGAAGGCCATCTTCAGGAGAGTTTGTATTAAAGAAAAAATATTGTAAAATAGTCATAACTAATATCAGCCACAGGTACTCAAATAGACAATTTTTGATCTTACAGAAATGTACAAGGTTACTTACTGGCTCTCAACCATCTACGTATAAGGAACTGGAATGTAAGAGGAGGGAATTTAAAGGCCTGGAGGTGAATTCATAGAATTGTAGACTTGGAAGGGACCATGAGGGTCATCTAGTCCAACCCCCTGCAATGCAGGAATCTTTAGCCCAATGTGGGGCTCAAACCCACAACCCTGAGATTGAGATTCTCATGCTCTACTGACTGAGCTTTCCTGTTGGTTTCAACTGTGGTTAATTTATTGCATATAAAATAGTGTTTCGGATTTGGTGGGAAAGCTTCTTAGTTGATGGCTAACAGAATATGTAAACAGGAAAATACATCTAGAACAGCGGTTCCCAAATGTTTTCAAGCCACCATCCCTTGGTTTCTTAAATTCATCCCCCGTGCCTTCTACCCTTGCCAACAAAAAGCAATGTTCAGAAGAGCACTTTGCACGACCCTCTAAGGAAGATAATAACACAATTATAATTCCTTAAACTTTGACTTCAGCTCAATGTCATTTTGTAACTCAATCAGTTCTTCCTTCACCACCTTCACTTCCTCAGTATCTGAAAATGGAATTATTTCATTTCATGATCGTGAATTTTCACAAATCCAAAGCAATGTTTTTTAACATACCCCTGAAGGTTCAAAATGATTTTCCTCGATTTCTCCTGGCTGGAAAGAGTTGTTGTTACTTGGGAACTCTGCTATTATTTTAAATTGACATGGGTTGCATAAGGTAGGGGCACATGCAGGTGTATGAAACATTTCTCTTCATTTTGATGCATGCCACATTATTATGTATAATACTTAAAGAAATTCCTTGACCCTCCTGCAGGGGTAGGCACCTAAGGCCCGGGGACCGAATGTGGCCCAATCGCCTTCTCAATCTGGCCCGTGGACGGTCCAGGAATCAGCGTGTTTTTACATGAGTAGAATGTGTCCTTTTGTTTAAAATGCACCTCTGGGTTATTTGTGGGGCCTGCCTGGTGTTTTTACATGAGTAGAATGTGTGCCTTTATTTTAAATGCATCTCTGTGGGGCATAGGAATTCGTTCATATTTTTTTCCCCAAAATACAGTCTGGCCCACCACATGGTCTGAGGGACGGTGGGCCGGCCCACGGCTGAAAAAGGTTGCTGACCCCTGACTTAGACCCTTAGATCCTTTTCACGTGTACTACTGGCAATTCAGGTGTCCCCCATCTTATATTTGAGAGCCTACAGTACTTCGCCTCTGTCTTCACCCAAAAGGAAAGCAGTGTCCAACCTTGTGGTTACAGAATAAATGATGCAAGGAGGAAACTGCAGCCCAACACAGGAAAAGTGGTGGCAAGGGAACAGCTAGCTACTTTAAATGAATTCAGAACTCCAGAGCCTGATGAGCTGCACCCAAGCGCACCGAAGGATACTAAAGGAGCTTGCGGGTGTAATCTTAGAGTCTCTGAGCTCCAGCTCCGAGGACCTTCCGGCGGGTCCCTCACTGCGAGGCTACAGGGAACAATACATAGGGCCTTCTCGGTAGTGACGCCTGCCCTGTGTGGCCTTTCCTCCACCAATCCATCTCCTGTGGACAGTTCCTCCTGCCATCTGAGGGGTGTGTCCAGGTATAAAAGTGTTGGTGTCCAAGCCACAGATGAGCAGAAGCGTCAAAGATGTCAGGTGAGTGGTCCTTACCCCGCCAAATGCTTTCTGGTCCTAAATTCTAGGCGAGTCAGAAAACTAATCTCCTATTTCAATGATAATGCTTTCTAAATGTTATACAAATCTCTGCCTGCTTTTGCTCTTTTGGGTGAGGGGGGAGACAAATGTTGGAGCAGGTGGGGCTTTCACAGGTCTGCTGATGAAGAAACAGTCATGCACTGAAGGAAACTGCTCTTGAAACATTTTTAAAATTTTTTTGGCCAGATAAAATTGTCCTCTTTCTCTCGCTCTCCAAGGTGCACAGCTGCTCCTTGTTCTCCTGGGATGCCTGGTGGCCACGAAACCTCTCCAGGCAACAGATCTTCCTCTCCGTGGTAAGGCCCTTGCTTCTCTTTTTGCTATTGCTTTTAAAAATAATTATATTTGGAGAGTGTTCTGGGTTTTGTTAACCCACCTATCCTCCCCCCCCCGCCTCCTTAACAGGACCAGATCAAGACATTCTGATGCCCTAAACTATTTCAAGGTTAAGAGGCCCCCATAGCAGTATCTTTTAAAGTGCATTATTGGAACAGAAAGCACAATGAAAAATAGAACATTGATATTTGCATACACAAGCAGCAATCTCACTGGAATACTCATCTTGCAATAAGTCCATTTGCATTTGAGAGGCTTTTAAATGAAAGTCGCTGGAGGTTTCTTGCTTAGCATGTAGCAGTGTAGTCAAAGATTCAATAAAGAGCATCTGCAGGAATTATTTGCTAGAAGGGATATGGAAGCTGTAAAAAGGCATCTAGATTTTCTACCATCTATCCCACTGTAAAAACTGAGCTCGGAATAGAGAAATATTTGCCTGAGATTACTTACCCTTTGCTTTGCACGGCGTTTAAGGTTCCAGACAATCAAAATTAACTTTTACTGTATTTTTGGTTTTTATGGAAGCCGCCCAGAGTGGCTGGGGAGGCCCAGCCAGATGGGCGGGGTATAAATAATAAATTATTATTATTATTATTATTATTTCTGGATGGACGATACAAAAATATCCCTAGAGAACAGCGATTCCACATCTTTGGGTGCCAGACAGTTGAGGATACCAAACACTATGTGCTATCTTGTAAGCTGTATGAAAATCCAAGGGCTAAATACTTAAAGAAATTCCTTGACCCTCTTACAGGGGTAGGCAGCCTAAGGCCCAGGGGCCGGATGTGGCCCATTCGCCTTCTAAATCTGGCCCTCAGATGGTCCGGGAATCAGCGTGTTTTTACATGAGTAGAATGTATCCTTTTATTTAAAATGCATCTCTGGGTTATTTGTGGGGCATAGGAATTCGTTCATATTTTTCTTCAAAATATAGTCTGGCCCACCACATGGTCTGAGGGATGGTGAAAAAGGTTGCTGACCCCTGCTTCTTGTCACCCTCAGTGACATCAACAAAATCAAGTATCTGCTGTCTTGCTCGGTCAAACCAGTCATGCTCAATGCAGCAAAGTTTGCCATAAAAACGTCCCAACTCAAGAAAGTCCTTGAGTCCACTCTTGTGCTCTAAGATAAGAGTCACCCATGTATACATGCTCTACATATTACAAGGATTTTATCACAAATGTTTTAATTTGTTTCTGAGATTCTTTATTTAGCGCTTTTTTCTGTTTGTTTGTTTTTTGCTATAATCTGTATTTGATTGACCAATAAAATTTGTTGTGTTGTTATCTGTTTGTTACTTAGCATATAAGACAACTCATTTCTGCACAGATTTATAAATAAATAAATATTTCTGCAGCCATTAGGTGTGTGTGTGTGTGTGTGTGTGTGTGTGTGTGTGTGTGTATATATATACACATATACCCGTGAAAATCTACGAAAGCATATATATATATATATATATATATGCTTTCGTAGATTTTCACGGGTACAGGAATGCAGGTTTTGGTGTCCTCGGGTGTCTTCCCGTGTAAAAGTTGGGGTGTCTAGGCGACGTTTCGACGAGGTCTCACTCGTCATCTTCAGGCTGGTGCTTTCGGCTTCTTGTTACTGGAACAATATATATATATACTGGATAATATACAGTATACAGTATATATATATATATATACAGTATACAGTATATATATATATATATACAGTATACAGTATATATATATATATACTGGATAATATATATATATATATATATATATATATATATATATATATTATCATATCAGAACGGTAAAGTCTGATTTGGATTATGTTTTCCTTTTAAAAATAGAAATTACATAAACTTGAAATTGAGCAAACGAAACAAAAAAATGTGTTTCAGGCCTCTTGTAATCTGGGTCCTCAGTTGGAAGTTTTCATAATTTGTGCAATAAACCCAGCACTGCTCCCAAACAGCCCGAAACATTCTGCAGAATGGCCAGGGATAAATCTGTCAACAGAAGAATTTCAGTTGCTTCAAGGAAACCTTCAGATTTCCTGTGTGTTGCAACCTGTAGCTGCCAGAAGGCCTGTAATTCGACCTGTTTCTGAACAATGTGTGCAAATACCTGCTGCATCAGTCCTGCTCCCCTGCCACCCCCCCCAATCCAGAAATTGTGCCAGGTTTCCTCAGGGGACTCCACTCTTTTTTGTCGCTGGAGAACATTTTGCTGTTAGAGGGAAGCCTACATAGTTGAAACGACCCATGAAATGAAACACAAAAACATCCTTTGAAATTCCCACTTCTCTGAGTTTTGCAATGCACTTCTGCAATGCGCTCTCTCACTGGATCACTTTGCACCAGCTGTTCCTCTGCAGTTTGAGTTCTGTTTCCCTCCCCGCCCGCTATGGAAACAATTGCAACCTTCTGAAATTGTTCTAAGCTGTGCATCCTGTATTTCCTTATGGGACCCGCCTAGCAGCATGTTACAGTCTGCCAGAGGGATGAGTCCTTCGGATCCTCTCCAAACCTTCTGTGGCTTAGCTGCTGCCCTTAACTGGAAATTTGCTTTGCATACTGCCTCTACAGCATCCAAGAATCCGGAGAACTGTCATTCTGTAATGGAGTTCTGGGGACCTGTATAACAGAGAACTGTCTTGCTGAACCACAGTTCCCAAGATTCTCTGGGAGAAAGCCATGTCTAAAATGGCCAACTTTTAAACTGGACCCAGCTCCTGTGCTTTGAATGGGTTAGCAGGCAATGTTACTTCTCTTTGTGCAGGGAGAAGCCTTGCCTGCTGATTTCTGCCTATCAGGCTGCTGTTAAACTTCTTAGAGCAGACCAAGACATTTTTTCCTGCTCAGCTGGCAACCCTGATCTGCTCCCAAGTCAAGTCCAAGGTGTTGCCATTAGTATGTGAAATACATTCTTACAAAGGCAGAATGGGAATTATGTGGCACTTGTACAGTGAAGGTGCCTGCCTGATTTCAGTAGGCAGGGAGTTCCAAAGTGTAGAGGTGCTGCCACACTGAAAGATTGAATTCTTACAAATACAGTACAGGTATTATGTGTCACCTGTAACCATGCCAGTTCCGGAGATCAAAGCGATTGAGTGGGCATATGTGGGGTATGGCAATTTTGCAGGTAAGCTGGTACCAAAAGCTTTATTCATGTACAGTAGTACCTTGGTCTCGAACGGCGTAGTTGTCGAATAAATCAGCTCCCGAACACCGCAAACCCAGACGTAAGCGTTCCAGTTTGCGAACGTTTTTCAGAAGCTGAATGTTCAACGCGGCTTCCAATTGACTGCAGGAAACTCCTGCAGTCAATCAGAAGCCACGCCTTGGTTTCTGAACGGTTTCGGGAGTTGAACAGACTCCCAGAACGGATTAAGTTCGAGAAGCAAGATACCACTATATACTAATAGGACCACCTTGAGCTTTGTCTGGTATCAAATTGGCAACCAGTACAGCAGGACGTGCAGAACCGGGGGCAGCTGGGTACACTTGCCCTGGGCCTCAGAGGGCTGTGTTGTTCGGGGGGGGGGGCAGGGCCTGCCAGACTTACACAGTCATGCCAAGAACAGGACTCCCAGCCCCAGGCCTCAGGCAAGCTCTCTGAGCCCAGGTATTACATGCTGACAATCTCTCACTCCTGTTAGCAATTATGCTACAGTTTCTTGTTTTTAGTGGGAGGTGCAAACGACACCCCTTGGTTTTAAATGGAGGCATTTGATGCAAGATTCTCCTCTTGGACAAACCCAGACTAAGGGACACTCTCTCTCTCTCTTGTTGCAGCCATTGGGAAGATTCTGGACACCTCAGACCTTCTGAGGAGTGTGGAAGAAGCAAAACAGCTGGTCGAAGATGCCTACAAACGCACCCAGCAACGGTGAGGGCTGCGTCTCCTCCCTTCTCCACACAGCCACAGTGGGTTTAGCTGTGGCTCCTGCATAGCAGGGGGTTGGTTTGGATGACCATTATTGGTCCCTTCCAACTCTACAATTCTATGATTCTGCATTTCACAGGACGGTGCCGATTTACATGAGAAGGACCTGGGTGCAGCCACAATGGCAGTGGTCATAACGCCGCTGTCCATGAGCAAACTGGGTGCCTAAGGTTGCCAGCTCTTTTCTTGGCCCCTGCTCCTGTGCATTTAACAGCAATGGTGGCAAAGTGCTTGTCCTTTACTCCATACTGCATAAAGTTTCAACCGCTAGTGTTGACAGATCAGATAATTGTTAAAAGGAGAAGTGGACAACTCAGGCTGCTGTTAAAGGTTTAGGAGCTGGTAAGTTGACAACCTTACTGGTTCCCTTCTGCTTTCTCTCCCGATTTTCCCCAGTTTGCTGGAGAGTTGCTGCATTGAGTTTCAGGTGGAAATTTGAGCAGAAATCCTTCAATAAATCCTCCACACACAGGGGAAGGCTACCCCTCCTGTATATTTGCTTGCTTTGCTTGCTGTGTCAAAAAGACACAGAAGCCCTGCAAGATCAAAGTGATGCAATCAATAATCAATAAAACTGCATTAAACTATCAATTAACAGAATTTCTGTGCCACTTAATTTTAAACATGGTTGGAGGCTTATTATAAGATAATCAGAAAGTCATTACGGTATTGTACTTGAAATAGCCATTATGACAGGAGCTAAAATCTTACAAAGAAACTTTTCTGGCTAGTTCAGCAATAGAATCCTCTATTAGAGTCTAACCCTCACTTATTACAGGAGACCAAGAATTAGGAGGTGCTCAGGGCATCATCCAGACTGACCCCAGCAACCAACAACAATATAATGAAATGTGCTTTCAAGTGCTGTTGCGTGACAAAGCTTCACTCAGCTGTTTTCCGACCCTCCAGCTTAAATGAGAAGCTGCAGAGAGAGAAGGTCAACCCCACAGATCTCCTGGTCTCCTTCAAGCAGCCCGTGGGAAGAACCAAGGAGGCGGTGAAAGCAGCCGACACCATGCACGTCACCTGGGCCCTCTTGAAACAGAAGCTGCAGCCAGCAATTCCCGGGGATTTCAACATCACAGGTAGGTGATGGAGGAGGAACCAGGTGCACTTCTTGTTTCAAGATGAACCAGCCTATTTCACACACTGCCCGTCAATGCACGAGATCCGGATTTCAGTTCTGCAGCTAATCTGCAGCTAAGTTGTGTGCGCGCAATTGCATACGCTAGGCCAAAGTGTGCAAAATTATGCACACTTTGTTTGTTTATATTAATTATCACATTTATTTCCCACCTTTTCCTCCAAAGCAGCTGAAGGTAATGTACAGAGACCTCCTCCCTCTCCATTTCATCCTCCCAACAACCCTATGAGGTTCATTAGGCTGAGAGGCAGTCTAGAACAGTGTTTCCCAACCTTGGGCCTCCAGCTGTTTTTGGACTACAACTCCCATCATCCCTAGCTAGCAAGACCAGTGGTCAGGGATGATGGGAATTGTAGTTCAAAAACAGCTGGAGGCCCAAGGTTGGGAAACACTGGTCTAGAAGATGGAGTTTAGACAGCAACCAAATAACACAAGTTCCTATCCCAGACAGCCATTTGCAGAGAATCATGGAATTGTAGAGTTGGAAGGGACCCTGAGGGTCATCTAGTCCAACCCCCTGTGATGCAGGAATCTCAGCTAAAGCATCCATGACAGATGGCCACCCAACGTCTGCTTAAAACCTCCAGCAAAGGGGAGTCCCCAACCCCCCCTCCCTGAGGGAGACCATTTACAGTCTGCAGTTTATGCTCATCAACAAGTTTGATAGTGTGGGGGAGTCCTCTGTTTTCTTTTTTAGCTGTAATATTGCTGTCAGCTGAAAAAGAGTCTTTAGGCTTCAAACCTTGCGCCAATTTTGTTTTAATTAGTCAACCCCCCCCAAGTCCTATTGCAGGGGGGTGACCCTCGGGGTCCCTTCCAACTTTACAACCCTATGAGTCTGTGATTTTCATTCTTTATTGCACCAGTTTGTCAAAGAAGCACTTGCGTTATGATAAGAGAAATATGCTTTCCACAAAGGTGCGTGTTTTATGGAGCAAAATTGCTTACAGAAAGCTGTGTGCCATGAATAACGAGAACTAGAATGCCGGTGGGTTTTCATGTGGTTTACTTAAAAAATAAATAAGTCACCAACTGATGTGGAAATGTAGGGAACTGAACTTGCGGCTTGGAAAATCAGAAATTGGGAGAAACTGAAGCTGGCGTGTTTACCATCTCCCTAGTGTTGGGCAGCCCCCACGCCCACCCCAGGCACGTCTTAGAAACTACTTGAAAGGGATCTGCAAAAGCCACTTCCATTTTCCCAGAGTGGGGTTGTGAAAGGGTGTCGGCCACAGGTCACGCGAAAGATGCTTAGTCAATGAGGCACAGGAGCCTGCTTTAGAAAGAGGAAACAGGACCAAACATGTGCGGTCGTTCAATCCATTTTCTCCCCTGGTGGAAACAAATGTATACGAAATACATTGTTAATCTCAAGGTATGCTTTTCAAAAAGCATTTTATCTATCATCTATCTATCTATCTATCTATCTATCTATCTATCTATCTATCTATCATCTATCTATCTATCTATCTATCTATCTATCTATCTATCTACCTGCGGATAAACTCCAGCTTCTTTAACTATGAACCCCAAAATCTGGGATCGCCTCGAAACTGGTGCCAAAGTTTTATAGCTGTTTTGTAGCAAAAAACACCATGTTTTGTAGCACCCCACAAACAGTGTAACTGATATGTCAAACCCGGGTTCGTAGTAAACACCCCCAAACCCAACATTGTCTGATCCCCTCAAAACCAGAGCCAAAGTTTTTTAGTCGTTTTGTAGCAAAAACCCCACGTTTTGTAGTGCCCCACAAATGGAGTACTTCATATATCAAACCCAATGTTCTTTCTGCAAAGCCTTTGCCGTAGTTCAGCGTCAGTTTTGAGTGAATCAGACGGTGTTGGTTTTTTGGGTGTTAACTGCAAACCCCTGGGTTTGAAGTATGAAGCGCTCTTTTTGTGGGGCATTACAAAACATGGGAGTTTCCTCACAAAACGACTACAAAACTTTGGCACTGGTTTTGAAGGAATCGGACAAGGTTGGTTTTTGGGTGACCCCGAGACCCCTGGGTTTGATGTATCATTACTCTGTCTGAATACCAGTTGCCGAAACCCACAGGAAGGAGAATTTCTGTTGCACTCAGGTCTTTCTTGCAAATTCCCATAGGCCTCTAAGTTGGCCATTGTGAGAACAGGATGCTAGAACATTGGCCTGATCCAGCAAGCTCTTCTGATATTCGCATCACAAAATTCCGATATGGGTTTATTAATGCAAGAGGTGTAGTAAATCTGTTCAGCTCACTTAAAAACATGGACCGAATTAAACCCTTGCATGTCCCTAGCTGAGACCTCTTCCATCTCCTTCCTGCTACAGATGTTCTCAGTCCAGGCCAGATGCAAACTATCTACAAGGCGTCTGGCTGTGCCAAGCAAGAACAGAGCCCATTGCAGTGTGATTTCAATAGCCCTTTCCGGACTATTACTGGAGAATGTAACAACAGGTAAGCTTCTATATCCAGCATGTCGGCTGTTAAAATCCCAGCCCAGCCCTGAACTCATTTGGTGAGCTGCTCACAGACAGGACCATAGTTCAGTGGTATAGGCAGCACATCTGCCCCGCAGACAGGAGGTCCCAGGGTCAAACCCTGACAGCATCTCCCAGTAGGACTGGGGAAAAGGCCTGGAGAGCTACTGCCAATCAGTGTAGACAATGTTGAGCTAGATGGAACCATAGTCTGGCTCCATATAAGGCAGCTTCCTAAGTTCCTATTAGCAATGGAGGAGAAAAACCATGAACTCCCCCTTGAGTGGGATTTAAATGCAATAAATACAGTAAAAATAGGATTCTCTCCCCCCCCCCCTTTGCTGCTTTTAAAAAATGAATCTCTGTGGCCCTTCTGGAACATTCCAGGAGGATTCCTACCTTAGGGGCCAACAACCGCCCTTATGCCCGGAGGCTTCTGCAAGAGTACGAAGATGGCATATCCCTCCCGCGTGGCTGGACGGAAAACAAGACATATTATGGATTCCCCCTGCCCTTGGTAAGGAGTCAACCCCAGCTGTGCTCTGCTTTGCAATGCGGATTTCTGAACGGTTGCTCAGAACAGGTCAGGGTTTTAGGAAAAGAGAAGGGATGATTTTTAAAAAATCAGGATGGAAATCCACAGCATGACAACAGGAAATGGGAACAGAAGATACAAAATGGGTGAATTAATGAATCCATAACAAGAAAATAACGATGGAATATTATTTTAATATATGATCACAGCGGAGAGACTCTTTTGTGGACAAAGGCAGAAAGACTTATTGTTGTTTAGTATGGAGGAATAGTTGTTGAAGTTATTGGAGATAAAGTTGATATGTTTGATTAAAGAAAAACCATTGCTGAGGCATTTATTAATAACAAAAATTAGAGAAGCCCTTTTGGACTTTTTGTGTGAAAAGGAAAATGAATTAATTTGAGATATTTGGGTTAATAAGTATTATTGCCTAACAGATAGTAGATCAGTTGGATATCATTCTGGAGTGAAGGTTTTGAATAATTCCTTTTATGTAAGTGACAGACAGAAGATCAGAAGCCTTTTTTATTTTATTTTCTTTTTGAACATTTTACTTGGGTGTCCTCTGGGCCATTTTTGGAGCCCAAGCGGGGGGCAGGGAAGGATTTTAGGGAAAGAGGGGGAAGGTGGCAAAGCAGATAGGAAAGTGGCCCCTATCATAATGCATGTTATAATCTGTGTTCTTTTATCATAGAATCATAGAACTGTAAAGTAGGTAGGGACCCCAAGGGTCATCTAGCCCAACCCCCTGCCATGCAGGAATCACAGCTATTAATTTAGCCTGGTAACAAATCAGCAGGCAGTGCAGATCTCTGAGCAGTGGTGCTACAGGCTGACAAGGTCTCACTCCTGCCAGCAACTGTGCTGCCACATTCTGTCCTCGCTTTAGCTTCTGAACTTTGACTGCCGGGGTGCTTTTGGCCCCTTCAGTGAATCTGGATCAGGGTGAGGCCTTTTGGGGGTGTCCAGGCTCAGGGTACGCAAGTTTACAACCATCAGCCTTGGCGCTTGGAATCGGCAACCAAGATCTGTTCCTCTGTTATGTCTTGGTAACGTCTGCTGCAGGTCCGGGACGTATCCAACCAGATTGTCGCCTTCAACGACCAAAGACTCACCGACGACCCATTCCGATCGGTCATGTTCATGCAATACGGCCAGTTTATTGACCACGACTTGGATTTTGGGCCCAGTACCACGGCCACCCTCACCTTCATCAAAGGAGCAGACTGTGAGAATACTTGCGCAAAGGCACCCCCTTGCTTCCCCATCAAGGTGCGTGAAAGTCCAGGGTTCGTTCTACCCTTTTCCAGAAACGCAACCTGTCCGACACAATAGTCCAGGGATCCCCGACATGGCACCAACGGGATCCAGTGGGCCTGCCAGCACCTCCCCTGTGTCACCCACGAAAGGTCTCTGTAAATATCCCCTCCAAAATCCACAAAGAGCAAGAAACTCTTTGCTGTTCCTCCTCGCCTCCTGCTTGCACTGACTCGGCTTCTCCTACATGGCATGCACCTCCTTAAAAACGATAAATAATAATAATCCATAATTGAAACACAGCACGATTTCACTGGGTGCCAGAATTGGATCCCTACCAGACCCTTTTTGGTCTCTGAACAGAGGAGAGGTGCAAAAAACTTCTCTCTGGTGGCTGAGGAGGTGGGGGGCACACACCAACTACCATATTGTGGCTCTGCCACTTTTTGGGGCCCTTTTAAATGTGGCAGCGGGTTGTTTTCTGACTGTGTGTTAAATTTTATTTTATGTTTGTAGAAAAATATACTTGTAGATCACAATTTCATACAACGTATCAAAGCGGCTTCTGAAACAATTTTATCCGTACATATAAAAAATGTTATAAAAAAACAAGAAACAACTCATAGGTAACTGTTCCAATATTTTTCTTTAACTGTCCATGTAGGGTATTTATTTTTATTTGATTGATTGATTGATTGATTGATGGGTTAGGCCACACACCCTCCCCAATGGCAGGGATGACTGGCCCCCATGATGCTCCTCCCCTCCCCCGCCCACCACAATGCCAAATGCAATAACCGGCCTATAAAGGTTGACGACCTCAGGAATTTCATCTCTCTCGAGCGGAGACTTCATGGCGGTTGTTGCAGGGGCTGGTGTTGAGCTTAGACAAGGCTTGGACACCTGAAGGGAAGCCCCACCAGGCCTGTGCAGAGGGGGTGGGCAGCCAAATACACTTGCCCAGGGCCTCAGAAGACTAAGCTGGCGGGGGGGGGGGGCACCAGCGACCAGTTGCTATTTTGTTTGAGTTTATAACTTTATTCTAACAAGACTCCTACCCCAGCTCTGCATGGACCTGCCCCCTACCCTGTGTGATCACTAATAATAATAATAATAATAATAATAATAATAATAATAATAATAATTTATACCCTGCCCATCTGGCTGGGTTTCCCCAGCCACTCTGGGAGGCTTTCAACAGAATATTAAAATGCAGTAGTCTATTCAACATTAAAAGCTTCCCTAAACAGGGCTGCCTTCAGATGTCTTCTAAAAGTTTGGTAGTTATTTTTCTCTTTGACATCTGGTGGGAGGGCGTTCCACAGGGCAGGTGCCACTACCGAAAAGGCCATCTGCCTGGTTCCCTGTAACGTGGCTTCTTGCCATGAGGGAACCACCAGAAGGCCCTCAGCGCTGGACCTCTGTCTGGGCAGAACGATGGGGGTGGAGATGCTCCTTCAGGTATACTGGACCGAGGCCGTTTAGGGTTTAAAGGTCAGCACCAACACTTTGAATTGTGCTCGGAAACGTACTGGGAGCCAGACTGAAGGTCACATACATCATCATCATTATTATTATTATTATTATTATTATTATTATTATTATTATTATTATATTATCCCACCTTTCCTCCAAGGATCTCAAGGTGGTGTACATAGTTCTCCTCCCCATTTTATCCTCCCAACAGGGTTCTGTGAGGTAGCCTAGGCTGAAAGCCAAACGTCACCCCCATGGCCATTGTGGGGAGGATTTGAACCCAGGCCTCCCAGGTCATAGTCTGCCACTCTAACCACTAGACCACCCCTGGCTCTCCGTTTCATTTTTTTAAAATTACTATTTTGTGGGGCTGCAGATCCCTCCTAATGACCCGGTGAAAGACCCCAAAGGCTGTATGGCCTTCACGAGAGCGGCCCCCGCCTGCAACGGGGGCTACGCCATCCGCAACCAGATCAACGCTCTGACGACCTTCCTTGACGCCAGCATGGTCTACGCCAGCGAAGTCGACTGGGCGAGGCAACTGAGGAACACCTCAAGCAACCAAGGGCTGCTGGCTGTCAACCTGAACTACACAGACAAGGGGCTGGCCTACCTCCCTTTTGGCAACCCACCAGGCTTCCCAGAGCTCTGCAATAAAACCAACACGACAGCAAAGATCCCCTGTTTCTTTGCAGGTAGGTCTGCTTATTTTTATACTGAATCAGACCCCTGTTTCACACTGACTGGCAGCAAGGGCTCTCCAGGGTTTCAAAAGAGGGGGTACTCCCACCCTTCCTAGGACCTTCTCCCTGCACAGAGCTATGGTCATGTCCTTTAAAATAAACCAACATGCTAGTCCTCATGATTCTAAATGAAGGGCTGATTCTGCATGTAAGGCAGATGTTCTGTCACAGAGCTCTGGTCCTTCGGCTAAAGACCAAGTAAGATTCCGGTTCTCATTGTTCTTGATTTGAAAAGGAAGGTATTTTCTACTGAGTCAAACCACAAGTCAATCTAGCTCAGTACAGTGGTACCTCAGGTTACATACGCTTCAGGTTACATACGCTTCAGGTTACATACTCCGCTAACCCAGAAATAGTACCTCGGGTTAAGAACTTTGCTTCAGGATGAAAACAGAAATCGTGCTCTGGCTGCACAGCGGCAGTGGGAGGCCCCATTAGCTAAAGTCATGCTTCAGGTTAAGAACAGTTTCAGGTTAAGAACGGACCCCCGGAATGAATTAAGTACTTAACCTGAGGTACCACTGTATTGCCCTACACCAGGGATTGGCAAGGTTTACCTCGCCTGGGCAGGTTCACTCCAGTGGAGATCCCTCTGTGGGCCAGATCATGCGCATGCCCGCAATTTCCAGTGCCTGTGCAGACGCAATTTTCAGCAATGCAGAAGTGAATCCCCGCATCGCGCTGGTTTAGCACAATGCGCGTGGACTCACTGAGCAGGCAGCTTGGTTCGGGAGCAGCTTGTGGGCCAGTTAAAGGACCCCCATGGGCCTTAGGTTGCTGACCCCTGCCCTACAGTGACTGGCAGTGGCTCTTCAGGATTTCAGGCAACTACCTGGAGATGACATTGGGGATTTGAACCCAGGACCTTCTGCATGCAGAGCAGGTGCTCTCCCACTCAGCTATGCTCCTCTGGAAACCTGTAAGGAACAGTTGAGGGAGCTGGGTACGTTTAGCCTGGAGATGAGAAGGCTGAGAGATGTTAGGAAGCCATCTTCAAATATCTGAAGGGCTGTCATCACATGGAAGGTGGAGCAAACTTGTTTTCTGTTCCTCCAGGGGTTGGGACCTGAACCAAGGGATTAAATTGGCAAGAAAAGACACTAAACATTAGAAAGAACTTCCAGGTGGTAGTACATTTTCAGCAGGTCTACCTTGGACACTGGTGGAATCTCCTACCTTGTCGGTTTCTAAACAGAGGTTGGACAACCATATGCCAGGGATACCTTAGCTGTGGTTTCTGCTTTGAAGGGGTAGATAACCCATGGGGCCAGGCATGCTTAATGGGGACTCAAAAAATGGCCTTTATGCTCTCAGTGGCTGCTTCCAGACTTTGGGATTCCCTCCCTAGAGAAGCTAGACTGGCTCCTTCCTTGTTGTCCTTCTGCTGGCAGGTGAAGATTGCTTTATTCTGCCAGGACTTTGAGGACTGGCTGTTTTTTAAGGGCGGACTTTTGAGAGTGCTATACTGTTTTTATTATTTGTATTTCGATTTGAATTTTATATTGTTTTAATTCTATTAGAGTTTAATTACCTCTTTTTGTTTGTTTGTTTTTTGTTTGTTTTTTGCTTTCTTATTTTTTTACCAAAAACGAAAACAAAACAAAAAGGACTTTAATTACCTCTTATTGATTTATCTTTTATATACTTTTAGCTTCTTGTCTATTATCTGCATTGTTTCAATTTGTATAAACCACCTTGAGTCCCTGTCTGGGGAATAGGTGGGAAATAATAATAATAATAATAATAATAATAATAATAATAATAGGTAGGTAGATAGATTAGATAGATTAGATAGATAGATGATAGATAGATAGATGATAGATAGATAGATAGATAGATAGATAGATGATAGATAGATGATAGATGATAGATGATATAGATAGATGATAGAGATGATAGAGATGATGATAGATGATAGATGATAGATGATAGATAGATAGATAGATAGATAGATAGATATAGATAGATATAGATAGATGATGATAGATGATAGATAGATAGATAGATAGATGATAGATAGATAGATGATAGATAGATAGATAGATAGATAGATAGATAGATAGATAGATAGACAGACAGACAGATAGATGATGATAGTGGTCTCTTACGGAATCTCTTCCAGCATAAAAGCTCCTTAACGGAAACACGTCTTCTGGACTCTCGGCGTGACAGTTTCCGGCGAGGAGTGGGTGTCCCTATAGGAGGTCTTGAAACCTCCCCACTGTTTTCGCTGGAAGTGTCTCTGAGCCATCCCTCCGACTCACTTTCCCCTGGAGCCCCTCCTCTCCCCCTGCTGGTTCCCTCTTCAGCTGTTAAGTCTGTCTCAACCTCAGGGAGCCCTTCCACCTCCTGTCCTTCCGATGGCAGTTCCCTGACAGACAGACAGACAGATAGATAGATAGATAGATAGATAGATATAGATAGATATAGATAGATAGATAGATAGATGATAGAAGAAGTCTTGCTAAAATGCTGTTCCTGCAGAGAGCCTGTGCTTTCCAAGTTGTTTCTTAGAAGCACAAGGTGGCTGGTTGGATCTAACAACGCTTCCTTCTTCTCTGGGGTCTTCAAGGGGACAACCGTGTCAACGAGATGCCAGGTCTAACTGCCTTGCAGACGCTCTTCATGAGGTTCCACAACCGCATGGCCTCTCAGCTGAAGATGCTGAATCCGCACATGGATTCAGACACCATCTACAACTTAGCCCGGAAAATCAATGGAGCAGTAATTCAGGTACTGGTTGAGACAGCAGCCCTGTGATGCTAAGAATGAGGCCAGGTCTTGTCAAGATGCAAGGCCGTTTTGGAAAAGCCCCCGCTGTGCTCAGTCCAGACTACAGATGTTCATGAGTTTGGGATGGGGTGAGCTAGCTGTGGAGAGGTATGGCGGGTGGGGTAGATTCTTATCCCTGTTACCCACCAAGACCAACCTCAGTTTATAGGGGATTCTCTTGGAATAACTAGGTCAATCACCTACTGAAACCCTTTTTGGTATGCAGAGTGAGGGGAGTTTAAGCTTGACAGAAAGGCAGTGTAGTGTAGTGGTTAGAGTTTCAGGCTACTTGGACCTTGGAGGCCAGGGTTTAAATCTCTACTCTACCTGGAGCCAGTCGCTGCCTCCCAGCCTAATCTGCCTCACAGGGTTGTTGTGGAGATGAACTGAGGAGTGGAAGGGCCTGTACAGTGACATGGACTGGCTAGATGCAGAGGGAGGGCACCAACCTCCAAGGGAACCCCCAGGAGAAGAAGGCTCAGAGCCTGAGGATTGTCGGTAGGATGGCAATGAGCGGTCTGAGGGAGACGACGGAGCAGACTGGGAGGGCTTGGTGAGCAAGAAGAGTCTGTGGCAGAAAAAAGCCCAGGATTAGAAGCAGAGGCAGGAGAGGAGGCAGTCTGGCTGGTGAAGAGGCATGGGTGTCTCTCCTTCCTGCTACTATAAGCTCCCTTCCTTGACCAGAAGAGGCATGAAGCAAGAGGAGCAAAGTCAGACACACAGGCGCAGTCTCATATTGCTTGAGAGAAACCCTGGAGGGGACTTAGGCAGCTGTGGGAAGGTGGTGACCCTCAGTCCCTGCAACTGCCTCACTGGGACAAGACCTACTGGGATCACTAGGCCTGTGCTGTTTTGGTTTCTTTGAATATGTTTTAAGGGAGAACTTCAGTGTGTGTTTGTCTTCACGCTCTCCTCTGCTTCTACATTCCAGAAAATCACCTATAGTGAATACCTGCCGGCCCTCCTGGGTGACGCATTCCCTCGTTTTGTGGGTCGCAGCACGGGCTACAATGACTCCGTGGACCCGCGAATCGCCAGCTCCTTCACCAACGCCTTCCGTTTTGGGCATGCCTCAGTGCGGCCCGTGGTGTTTCGCTTGGACAGCCGCTACCAGCTTCAAAGCGAGACCCCACTGGAGAAGGAATTTTTTGCTTCATGGAGAATCCTTCAGCAAGGTATGTCCCTCTTAGGGAAGGCCAAGAAGAGCAGGGGGGAAGGCGGTGCAAACTTCCAGGGCCCTGAGGTCTGAAAGAGGTCCTGGGGCCCAACCATTTTGCATACGGTTTATGTCATTCTTAACAAAATAATGCGTTTCATGCTCAATGTACACACCATTCTGAATAAAGACTTGCAGACGGCAGACTTGTGCTTTGACTGTACGGCGGTGCAGCCTTGTCTTCACATCTGTATGTTTTTGTAAGTGAAGACCATGCGACTACAACAAAGTTGTTATGTGATATGCATTGTGTTGTGCTACACGTACAAGGTTAACGTTTAAAGTGTATCACCAGCTTAGCAACTAGTTTGTGGGTGCTTATTGATATTAGTCATTAGGATCTTAATATGGTCGTACCTCGGAAGTCGAACAGAATCGTTCTGGTAGTCCTTTCGATTTCCAAAATGTTTGGAAACCAAGGTGCAGTTTCCGATTGGCTGCAGGAAGCTCCTGCAGCCAATTGAAAACTGAGTTGGATGTTTGGGTTCCAAAGAAAGTTTGCAAACCGGAACACTCACTTCCAGGTTTGCAGCATTCGGGGGCCAAAATGTTCGACTCACAAGGCGTTCAGGATCCAAGGTACTGGGGAAGGGGGTTGGCAAAATATTTCTCTCCGATTCCACTCTCAGCAGCCCTTTTCTGGAGCCCAAAGTGCCCTTGTGGAGTTCTGTGTCAAAAGCCACCCTCTAATTCCTCCAGAGTTTTCTTCCTTTGTGAAAGAGGCTTCTTTTTCTTCCTCCCCCCCATGAGCCCTGTAGAATATGCAACTCCATCATCTGGTCCTTCCCCCATCACATGGTAGTTTCTGTATGATTTTTCCATCTATCTCAGATTGCAGAAAGCCCATCGATTGAGGCTAGGGTACTTCTCCCCATATGTGCCAGCCTGTACACTTGGCAGTGCAGGAACCTCCAGGCCACAGGCCAAGTTTGGCCGGCAAAGGTCCTAGTTTTGATGCACATGGCAAATCTCCCCCCAAAGCACATACCCTCCTGCTCCACAGCTGAGATTGTGTGTGACATCAGGAGTGGGCAAAAGTGAGGTCCCGATTCTTCCTCGGTAAGCAGAGCTCGCTGTCAGGACCTCCCTTGAGCAGTTGAGGGCATTTGCTTCCTCTGTTGGCAGGAAGCAAACTGGAGCCAAATCCCTTCCTTCAGGCCAGCTTCAAAGGGGCTTGCTGTAGCATCAATCAGTGGTTAAACCCTGCAGGATAGCTCAGTTGGTATAGCATGGGACACTTAATCCCAAGGTTGTGGGTTCAAGCCCCATGTTGGGTGAAAGATTCCTGCATTGCAGGGAGTTGGGCTAGATCAGTGGTGTTCAACCTGTGGGTCCCCAGATGTTGTTGCTGGCCTTGCTAGCTAGGGGTGATGGGAGTTGTAGTTCAACAACATCTGGGGACCCACAGGGTTGAGAAAGGCTGGGCTAGATGATACTTGTGGTCCCTTCCAACTCTAAAATGTGCCCTGCTTGCACAGCTGCAGGCAGGTTGTGGTCTGGAAATACAGTAGAGGCTACAGGTCCAGCAGGTGTGGGGGGAGACGGAGGTCCCTCAGGCAGCAGCTAAATGTGCCAGTGAGCCATAATTTTGCAAGCAGATGTTTTGTTCTTCCAGGAGGTATTGACCCGCTTATCCGAGGCCTCTTGGGTAAGCCAGCCAAACTGGTGAGGCCTGACCAGTTGGTGGTGGATGCTCTCAGGGACAAACTCTTTGAACAGATCAGGAATGGCAGTGGACTGGATTTGCCCTCCCTCAACATGCAGCGAGGCCGAGATCACGGCCTCCCAGGTAAGGCAAGCAGAGCCTGCACAGATGTTGGAGAGTGTTGCTCAATGACCAGCCGGTGAAAATGTCTGGAAGACTCATCGGCCAGCCTCAGTCCGCTCTTGAGAAACTCTCGGGAGATGGGTACGGGAGGCCAGTGAAGACAGAGAGTCTCCGAATGAAAGAACCTAGGAAGAGCCTGCAGGATCAGAGCAATGGCCCATCTGGTCCAGCATCCTGTTGCCCTGATGGTTGGTTGACGGATGGGAAGCCCACAAGCAGGAGCTGAGCAAAACAGCCCTCTCTTCACATCCCAACGGCCGCCTTGTGGGATATAACCAACATGTTTAACTCTAATTAATGCATGAAGGGGTTAAGACCATAGGGTAAGCTGTCCTGTCAGGCTTAGCTAGGTCACACACCCCACCTTGGGAGGAAGTGCTATGGAACTCTTTGTTCCCCTCTTTCCACAATAGCTATGCTCTGTCTCCACCATCAGAAGCAGGATGCCTCTGAATATCAGTTGCTGGAAACCGCAGGTGGGGAGGGTTGTTGCTGTTGCGCTCCCATTCCCTACCCCTAGCAAAAGTAAACTTCCTGGCAGACTGTATGCCAGGGAAGGGGTCCCACCCCTTGGGTTGGCTGCATTACAACAACAACGCCCCTCTAAAACCCCACTCCGCTCTTCTTTGCCTGTGCTAGAGTGCCTCTTTTGCACTTCAGATGCCTTGAAAGGAACCCAGTTTTTGATATTGGTGCTCGTCCTGCAGGTTACAATGCCTGGCGGCAATTATGCGGCCTTTCCCAACCCCAGAATGAGAACGAACTCACTGCCGTCATCCAGAACCGCGATGTGGCCAAGAAGTTTATGAGCCTTTACAAGACCCCCAACAACATTGACCTCTGGGTTGGGGGCGTGGCAGAGCCTTTGGTCCGCAATGGCAGAGTTGGTCCTACCTTCGCGTGCATCATCGGAGACCAGTTCCGAAGGACTCGGACCGGTGACAGGTGAGCAGGCAGAGGAAGCCCAGAACCTCTGTGATTTTCTCTTTCAATCGACTGGTCTTCCTAAGTAGCTTACGTACACCCGTCACTTTCCTTCTAAATTAAGCAGAAGCCATTTCATCACAAAGGGAAGCAAATTACAGCCCATAAACTGGTGGCAAGCCCAGCAGGAGATGGTTATTTTGTTTTACTTTTAATTTATTTTCATAAAATCTATATAAAACAAAAAAACCCCTCAAAGTGGTTTACAAAAAAGGAAAAAAATTAAAAACCATTCTTTAAAGCATATGAAAGATTAAATCAGCAATAAGTGAAAAATAGATTAAAATATACTGCAACATTCTACATGTCTGTGTAGGCTTGTGTGCACAAAAATGTTTTTTAGAAAATATTGTTTATTTTCTTGTTACAAAATTGTACACACATAAATGTGTACACATGTGTAAACATGACACGACTATCAAAAATAGGGTCGTGGCAGGGATGTTTGTGTGTGTAAAATACTAAACATTTTACGGTACCTAATCATGAGGTAATTACAGTAATCTATAATAAATACCTTCCAAAGCTGTTACAATTTTTGGGCCAGATCCAAATTTCTTAACTACTTCCATTAAATAATTTGGTTCTATGCAATCAAATGCTTTAAAAATATCAAGTGTGAAGCTTGCTAAAGTGGATGATGTTTTCCTGCTGAAAGGAAGAATGTATTTTAAAAAATCATTATTGAATCAGTAATTCTTCACCCTCGAACAAACCCAGATTGGACTGGGTGTGTAGAAATGTCAATAAACGTTTTAAATCTATGGACCAGAAGGACCGGAGAGGTTTTATAATCTAGATTTAACAAGGAGATTGGTCAGTATGACTCAGCATTGGTAGTGCCCAGTGAGATCTGATCCCCGCTTCTAGATGGGCCCCTTTTGGCCTGATCCAGCAGGCTCTCCTTTTGCTTTCATGGTGCCAGGTGCTAGGGCATTGACCCCTTTTCTCTTTCCTCTCAGATTCTATTATGAGAATCCCGGCGTCTTCACCCCATCGCAGCTCCAGGCCCTCAAACGAGTCTCACTGGCTCACATAATCTGTGAAAACACCAACATCCGGGAGGTGCCACGCAATGTCTTCCGGGCCAACAGCTACCCCCAGGATTTTGTCCGCTGCAGCACCGTCCCAAGGCTCAGCCTCTTTGCCTGGAAGTGCACTTGTGACTGTGAGTGTCAATGGAGAGGAATGTGTGGCAGGGAGTCCCACAGGCTCCCACTGCAACTAAATGCTTGCTGGATTTGACCACGGGAGCCTTGGTCCTCCGCCTTCCACTTCCTCATTTTCCAAATGCTTGGAGTTTACAAGGGCATAACTTACTATCATGATCACCAGTGCTTTTTTTCCTGGTGGTACTCAATGGTACACAGAACCGGTATCTCTATCTATCTGTCATCTATCTATCTAAAATAAAGGGTCAAAAGCCAGTGTCAGTTTCCCCTTCCCCTCCGGTAGCTTCCAATAAGAAGTAACGAGCCTTTGTCAGGTTTATAGTCTGTTGTATTTACAACAACATACTGAGAGCAACATCAGGCCGCCCTCCCCACGGATGGCAGTTGCTCACTCTGAGTCCCGTCCCCTTCCGCAGCAAGAAGTGCACCACTGGCCACCTGTCCTTCCCCTGAGCTTCTGTTGTTCCTGGACCCTTTCAGTCCTCCAAGTTCTAGAGGAGGGAGGGACTTCCCCGCCACTCTCGATTTAAGAATCTCCCAAAGGCTCCCTCCCTCCTGGTTGCCTAGCTACTATCTCAAAACTGTCCAGCTCTTCCCCTGGCTGAGCAGCCTCTGAATCTGCTGGTCTCTCTGCTTCTGGGAACGTGTAAGGTGGGGGGATCCTCCTCCTCTGTCAGAGGCTGCTCTGTCTGTGCCTGCATTCCTTCATCTTCGGAGTCAGGCCAGTCTCTGACATCTGATTCAGACCAGCCCCTGACAGCCGGGGCAAAGAAGTGCATCTTCAGCATCTCTCTGGGGAGGGAGCGCTTTTGATCCTCTTTCTCCCCTTCTTCTCTTAGCTGCAGATGGCTCTTGTTGAGGACGGCGCTCCTGTGGATCTAGACCTGGGACCTGCATCCCTAAGAAAGAAGAAAGGCCTTCGCTTGGCTGCAGTTGGATTCCTGCCCCTGTTCACGTCCCACCTGCTGTTTTGGAAATACGCATGGGCAGGGGGAGTCCTACCCAACCTTGCTTTTCGTGACAAAGATCCAGAATAAAGCAGTTGCTGTGTGATAGATCCATTTGTTTCCACCTCAACAAGACATGCACAATGTTGCTAAATTACAGCTACCTGGGTGGTTGAAATGGCTCGAAATAAGTTGGGATTATGGTTATGATTATGATGGCATGAGGCTGTTTTCTGTCTTCAGAAAGAAAACTCTCTGTATAGACACTTTTTCAAAACAAAAAATGTATTGGGGGCAGCAGATACAGACACCCCTAAATGGTCAGTGGCTGAAACTTGAGGGCGGGGAGGTTACTACCAAATGGGTTGACACTATGCTCAAAGGACAATTGTTGCAGGTCTGCTGCGCAGGGATGGCCACCGACTTAGATGGCTTTCAAAGATGATGGCACCAATTCATGGAGGAGGAGAAGCTTCTTGATGGCTACTGGGCATGATGGCTCTGCTCTGCCTCCACAATTTGAGGAAGCAATGCTTCTGAATAGCAGTTCCTGGAAACTGCAGGAGGGGAGAATTGCTTTAGTGCTAGGGTCCTGCTTGTGGGGTTTCTGAGCACATCTGGTTGGCCACTGTGAGAACAGGATCCTAGGCTATTTATTTTATTCACTGAGTTTGTGAGTCGCTTTCTCTTGTCTAGGGCAACCCAAAGGAAATTGAAAGCAGCCAACCAGACAGAACAAAATGAAAACAAAAACCCACATACTGTAGATACATTGAAACCAAAAGGAAAAAAGAAATACGTTGAAAATATCTAACCCACTTCTAAAAGGCCACAGAGAGTTAAAGGACAAAGGCCTGTTTATAGAGGAAAGCTATTGCCTGACAACAACCTAAAGATGTATAATGATTTCGCCAGGCAAGCCTCCTTGAGGAGAACAAACCTGACGGACTAGATGAGCCATTGGCCTGATCCAGCAGGCTCTTGTTGTGTTCTTATGGGTCTGGAGCCATTAGCAGCTTCCTGTGTCTCTTTGTTCAGAAAGCACAGCAGTAGAGGATTGTACATTAAGGCAAGTGGGGCACTGCCCCACCACCTCGGTCTCCCCTTGGCCAACACCCCCATCTGCCTGCCTTGTTACAACCAGCCCAGAAGGTGCCCCTGACTATCATCTGATTAGTCTCAGTGTTGCCTTCATAGAACTTAGCAGAGAGTAGGAAGATGAAGATGTCAGGATTCCAGCCGAGGTCACAGGTAGACTGGCCTCACTCTAGGCGTCCAGCTGGGATCCTTATTGACCTTCCCATCTGCGTCTCCTGGCAGGCAAGGTCATAAATCGGCGATTCTCCTCAGACGTGAGGAGAACACACCCTCCTCCTCCTCTCCCTCCCTGCATTCCCCCAGGGAGGGGAAGAAGAGACAGACAGGAGTCCTTTTACATGTCTTTTATTCCTGTCGTTCAGCAGTACAGAGAAAACGTGTCTGTACCCTCCAGACTCCGGCAGAAGAGTCACAACTCCGCCCCTGTACTTCCAGTACAGGTCAGATGACACTCTGAGCTAACATCCGGTGCTCAGTACAGAGAATAGACTCCCCCTTTTTCCCAACAGTACAGTTCCACACATCAACATCTTGTTTTGCTTTCCAGCCACCTGCAGCTGGCTTTTGCATTGCTGCTTTTTCCTGACAGAAGATAAGCCTAGAATTAGTCAGCTGCGCCTGCCATTGGCTCTGGCGCCACCTACTGTTGGGCTCCCTGCCTTCCGCCCAAGGGGCACCAGTCACCCTGGAGACACAGATTACAGTTTCATGTATTTATCTGGGATTTTTTTTTATTAGTATTGATCAGATAAGTCTCACAACTCCATCATTAAAAAATAAATACACCTCCCGGTTAGTGCCTATACAACCACTGAAATGAAATCAGAATATGTGTTGCACATCGCTTTCAAAATCCAGCTATGTGACAATATGGAAAGGAAAGAGAAAAGAGCAAATTTTAAAGTCGGATGAACGGCTCATTCCATCAGAAAATCCACAGGGCAATACTTCACTAGGCCAAACAACAATGTTGCAAAAGGGCGCGCAAGCATTCAGATTCTGAGTTCTGCCTAGTCAAGAACTCTAAAGAACAAAAAAAAAAACCCACCTTGCTATTTTGTGATATTTTGCTTAATTAAAATATCTGGCTGGTTGTGCTGTTTTCACATCCCAAGGGCAGATGTGAGTGTCACAAATCCTTGGGTGGTCATTGCTGGATTTAGCCCCAATCTACCCCAAATAGCCACCTCAAACTGACCTTCCTTCATCCCAGAGCCCAAACCACCTTCCCAGAATGTCAGGAAATATGAATGGCAGAGATGAATCCCAGATTTTGGCCCAGAGATGGCAAAGAGGCATTTTGAGAGTTTGTGGCAGTGGACTACAAAGGTCCTTCACTACAGCTTTTTAAACAGAGGTTGGATGGTCATCTGCCAGGGGTGCTTCAGCTGTTATTCCAACATTGCAAGGGTTTGGACTGGATGAACCTTGGAGTCCCTGCCAACTGAACAATGCTATGATTCCACTGTCGAACAGCTCTTACTGTCAGGAAGTTCTTCCTAATGTTTAGGTGGAATCTTCTTTCTTGTAGTTTGGATCCATTGCTCTGTGTCCGCTTCTCTGGAGCAGCATCTTGCTGGCCACTGGGAGAACACGATGCTGGAGTAGATGCCTTCAGGGCACTTCTGAACTCCCTCTGAATGAGGCCGCAATGGCCACCAACAGTTGCTGGAAACCACAGGAGGGAAGAGTTGCTCTTGTGCTTGGGTTCTGCTTGCAGGTTTCCCATCCCACAGGCAACTTGTTGGCCACCGGACTAGACGGGCCTTTGGTTTCATCCATCAGGCTCATCATATGTTCTTATGACTCCATCAACATTTGAACAACCCAGAACCTCTGGGTAATTTTGGTCACAGTGACTTAGCACAGTGGCGTAGCGTGGGGGGGTGCAGGGGGGGCCGGCTGCACCGGGCGCAACATCTGGGGGTTAGGGTTAGGGGGCACAAATCAATGGGTTAGGGGGTGCAAATCCACGGGTTAGGGGGTGCAAATTACTTGCCTTGCCCGGGGTGCTGACAACCCACGCTACGCCACTGACTTAGCAGTCTGGGAGCCCTCGTCTCCTCAGAGTCTTTTCACATTCTTGCACTGGATCAGATCCTGAGGACCATTATAGTTCTCTTTGCCACTGGGCAGGATGTTTTAAGACAGCCGGCTGAATAAGGTCCTCCCCCCTGCTCTGGAGGATTCTCACTTCATATCTTTTTACAGTCCTTGAAATTCCTCAGGCGCTTCCCTCAATTCAACACCCCAAATCTCGGGATTTTACATTCTGCAAAATTCAGCAATAACTTCACAGCTCTCTTTTCTTAATAGCTTCGTTTCCTACCTCACCAAACCTACCAGAACATGCAGGCGACATTTGGCAGGACCCATTCCATAGATTTCTGGCTGCGTGATAAGGACAGCCTTGCCAGGTGAGACCAAAGGCCTGCCTCCATGGGCTCTATCCTGTTTCCCATATGCTTCCAGGAAGCTCACAAGCAGAGCAGGGGAAAAACCTTTAAAGTCTTTTCAGAACCAAGTGTTTTGATAAAATCCAGCGCTTTTCACACATATCCGGGGTGAAGAAATCTCCCAAGCGGGTTGGTCGAGTGTGGGACTATCAAATAGGCCCAAAATTTCTCCTTAAATGAAATTTCTTGTTCTGTAGAAACTCTGGAGAAATTTCCTTTTTTTAAAAAAAGAAGAAGCAAGAAGGAGCTTTGATAAAGACATGGACATGTGAGTTCTTGTGGTGGTGGAGAGAGGCAGTCTGGCCCTCATCCCTACATCCCACTGTGCCAAACAAATATGGCAGCCCCAAAGGGTCATGTGACCCTCTCCTCAGGTCTGCCTTATGTGAGCTGTCAAGCACTTCTGGCTGGGGAGGCGGCACAGTGCCAGCAGGTACACCCAGCCTAAGGAGTGTGTCTTTTGTGTTGAGAAGCCTGTATTCCAGGCCAAGGGGTGTTTCAAAACTATAGACTAATGGTGTGACTCTCATTCTTGCAACTGATGTTCCTCTGCATGCATTTTGGGAGGGGAAAATCATGCTCATCCTGTTCACTCTGGGCCATTGAGTGGAGGGTGTCAGGGTTTGGATAAACTATGTTTTTATTTAAAAGAAAACTAATTTATTACATTAAAGTCTATTTTCACAAAAAAGGAGACTGTTGCCATTAGACGTTTACTTCTTTCTATGGAGGGGTTTGCGGTGACTTAGTATAAAGCTGTGGAATAGGCAAATTCCATGCTAGGGATCATTAGGAAAGGAATTGAAGGGAAAACTGCTTATGTCATAATGTCATGCTGATACCTCACTTGGAATACTGTGTACAGTTCTGTCGCCACACATCAAAAAGGATATTGCAGAGTTGGAAAAGGTTCAGAAAGGAGCAACCCAAATGATCAAAGGAATAGAACAACTCCCCTAAGAGGAATGGTTGCAGCGTCTGGGACTTTTAGAGTGTCTGGGGCATTTAGAGAAAAGGCAAGAAGAGTTTGGATTTGATATCCTGCTTTATCACTACCCGAAGGAGTCTCAAAGAGGCTAACATTCTCCTTTCCCTTACTCTCCCACAACAAGCACTCTGTGAGGTGAGTGGGGCTGAGAGACTTCAGAGAAGTGTGACTAGCCCAAGGTCACCCAGCAGCTGCATGTGGAGGAGCGGGGAAACGAACCCGGTTCACCAGATTACGAGTCTACCACTCTTAACCCCTACACCACACTACACTACAAGAGATAGGTGACACGATAGAAGCTTATAAAATGATGCCTGGCATGGAGAAAGTGGGTAAAGAAAAGTTTTCCTTCCTTTTCTCAAAACGCCAGCACTGATAAACATCCAATGAAGTTGAATGTTGGAAGGTTCAGGGCAGATAACAGGAAGGACTTTTTCATGCAGCATAAACTGTGGAACTCCCTCCCACAGGAGGCAATGACGGCCTCCCACTTGGACGGCTTTCAGAAAGGATTTGACAAATTCATGGAGGAAAGGGCTATCCTTGGCTACTGGCCATGATGGCTCTG